AAGGTACGGAGTTATGTTACGTAATTGACTTTTGAGCCGGAACCCCTAAAAGGTCCACACAGGGAACATTTTCAACCCTAAAAGAAGCGCCCATCACCCCTACCACCTGAACAAAGGGAGTACCCCCCCTCCCAACCGCCCGGGGGGATCAGAATCGGGTCGGCTTGCAAAATAAACTATTTAAAAGTCGAAGCCTTTGATCAGGCGTGTAGTTCTTTAACACGACTAGTTTATCCCTTAGAACTGATCTTCTATTACAGTAAATACTGCTTTGAATAGGTGAATCAAAGTATGAATAGTTAAAAAAATAATTGATCTTTTGCCCATGAAGATCGAAGATTTTTAGAAGTCCGTGCTTAGAAGTCATTAACATCTTGCTTAGAAAGCCTTTTTTTACGAAATTCATATATCAATATTTCTAGTTCGGTTGTCTTGAATTACAGCAGTCAACGAAATAGAGCATGCGTAGACATAAATTTCTGTCACGTGATGTTAGCTCCGCCCTTTCACTCTTGGCAACATAATGACATTGATTGACAGCTGGTACAAGCTAATTGATCGGAYTGTARACTATAGCTGAAGCCCGCAAAGGTCTCTTGGGYAAGTTCCCGAAGAATCCTGGGTACTATTGAGCAAATTTTGTCGCGCAGGAATCAGTCAGGAAAAAAACAAAGGTATTTTATGACCGGTTTATCACAGGTAACCCGGTAAYAAACCTAGATTCATAGCTCATTTGCAGCTTCTCCCGACCCCCATTCACAGATTAATTTCCACTGCAATATACATTCAAGGATTTTCCACCACACATGCATGCATTCTTTTGATGTCAATTGTCCCCTCTCCCTTCCACCCATGAGGCCAGATTTCAGTCCTCAGCAGGTTCCCAATGCAACCGGGAGGAATACAAGTGAACAGAGATAAGCCAAGATCTTATTTTTCACTAGCTTTAATTCAGATTAAAACTGAATGTGTCGAGTGCAAAAGACCTTCGATATCCTGTTTCTTTAAATGTATTTGTTCAGGTTTAAAAAAGCCTCAAAATATCAGTTGGTACGAGTTGTCACAAATCGGATGTGCAGTTATCCTCGCTCATGCTTCCTGTTATTTGATATGATATATCGATAGCTGAGTTTTCCTCAAAGCTCCACCTGACCTCTATACTTCTAGCTATATGCCATTCATATCCTTAAAGCTATGAAGCAAGCTTACTACATTGGGCATTTATAATTAAGCACGGTAAAACCACTATAAAATTCGCCAAAATAACCCAGTACTGAACTGCTAACCATTTTGGGGGTTTCGTTCTGGTTCATTGGCAAAGTGTATTTATTATGCTTCGTGTCTAGGTAATGACAAATGCCAGTTAACATTTCTTTTAGCCTACAAAATGCCGTAAATGAGTCTATGTTAATATTAATCCGCGCCTTGCGCCCTTACCCACTAACTTGCCAATAATCGTATCTATTTTCACAACTCAAGGGGAGGGGGGGGGGGCGAATTATGCTAGACATATGCACATTAGCACGCGAACGAAGCCTACAAATCTGGCACAATTGTGCGGCGTACCATACAAAACACTGAATTGAAGCAACACTGAGATKTCGCCCAGTCTTCGTGCACAGTAAAAGCGTCAAAAGTTAACTACGCAAAAAAAGTTTATTTAGTGCGTAATTCCGTCGGAAGGCATATATAACTCAGTAATTGACTATGTAATTAAGCCCACCATTATTGTCCCAGTATTGGCTCCCATTGATGTTACAACAAATAGCCAACTCTATTTTTCCACGGATCTCCTGGCTAAGTTTCTTTGAGGTCACTGCAATMCGAAAAACAAACTTGTCGGCGTAGCCTCCATCACATTGGAATAAAAAGTCGGCTGGTTTGTCTTGAAAAYCTTTCCAGTCATTAAGAGTGTACCTCACGAAAACGTCTTTTTCGAAGGCGTGGTTTTTTACCCTAACAATTCCAACAAGTACATTCTTTGATTTTGATGCCCAGAACAAGTGTTCTAGACAGATGCTGTTCCTTTCAAAAAGACTTACGAAATGTCTTCCAAACAAAGGTTGTGGAACAGGAGAAGATGAATAAATTCTAGCGATATTGGGTTTGGCGTCTGTATTTAACCCTTGATCCTGCAGGATACTATAATCGTTCCTTGGATCAGTAAAATTTCGTCCTCTTTGTGAAAAAGACTGAAAATTCTCGCAGCTAGAATTAGGCGTAACTGTTTTGACAGTTTCGAGACTTTGACCGGCGAAATCAGCGAATGTAACATTTCTAAGTTTCCTGCGGTCTTTGAGATTATTGCAATGGGATTTCTTTGGAGTTTGCCTTTGTTTCAGACAGCTTACAAGCATCTAGCTTCAGTGACAGAGAAAAAGAAAGTTAATGTAGTGTCGTCGTGTCTTCCAGCTCAAAGATTTAGCGAGCATACAAGAAATCAAGCGAAGCCTTGTTTTAACAAGTTAAAACTGCACGACGAACCCAGTAAAATGAAATCAGTTGTCTTTTTCTCCGTTTTCTTGGTTGAAAGGTCACRCATTCAGACATTCCTTCACGTAGCAGTCTAGAACTATTTTTATTTCTTGATATTAACTTTTTTGCTTCGTTTTGATCCATTATAACTATTATTCCGTGAAAGTGTGAATCAGAACTTTTTTGAAAGCTGTTGTTGACGTCAAATGACTTGTCAAAATCGACACGTGACCACGCTAGTACTTTTCCTGGCTCACGAAAACCAGGAGATCTAAAATGATAAATACTTGTCATAATTATTGTCAACAAACTTATACCCAGGATGTAGATAAATCAGGTCGTCTGCGCTTTTCATAGAAAACGAATAGTAGAGTAACACAATAAATGCATATTAATTTTACGAAAAACGCTCGATAATGCGTTTWATTATATATAKATATCGATGAAAYAWTAWGATTTATCCGGTRTCTAAAATCTCGTACATTCTACTCAGTGAAGATATAATATCCGTCMCATGTRAAGATATCACCGTTRCCATGACTACGTTCTTATCAACCAATCAMATTKAKACCTTCACGGTTTCTTTCAATCCTCAGATCAAAAATGTCAGCTCCATCGYYGGCAAACGAGAATTTTGRTGATAACTTTGACCTGTTTCCTCATTTTTATGAAATGCAAGAACAAAGACGAGTTTTTGAACGCCATTATATTTTTCAATTACGGCAAATTCATTTTTAAAGATTGTGAATTCTAAAATTCTCTTACATATTTTTCTCGTTTGTATTTAGCAAGGTTAATTCAAGACAGTTTCAAGAAACTGWTGTATCATTAAAATGCTTGATCCGAGTCTTCATTAAATAAATAATTAAGCTTAAATTTAATTTTAAGATTTCAGATCCAATTCATAGGAAGATGTTCAAGATGTTTGATTAAAAATAAATAATTCAAGTTTATATGTTTGCATTGGAACTTTCATCGCCGGATATCTATGTAATAAGCAGAACATCGCTTTGAGTAAAAATTTTGTCTTCTCGTGTTGAATCAGTCTCTCACTCGTTCGCTGCGCTCACTCGTGAGAGATATTCTCAACACTTTGGTTATCACGTGATGTCATCAAAAAGCTAAAATCCAAAGTATTCACCCCACAAAACTGTTTGTCGAATATTTTGTTCATAGCATTATAAGACAAGTCTCCCCACAATAATTTTGTATTATCGATGTTTGGTTTTAGATTTATTGCGAGTCCAATTATGCACGCAATTCTGTCACGCATTTTCAAAGCATTAGCAATGAAATAGGGAAAATTGATTGAAATAATACGTTTTTAACTTAGTAGATGATTGGTAACTTTATTTCTATGATTATTGTTATTGAACATTTGAAATGTTTGCAATATAAACACTTTTTTAACCTTTGTGATTTGGCCGCAATATTGCTTGGTGTCCCTCAATGAGACACCAAGATGGCGGCCCCATCATTTCAACTAAATTATGGGCATAATCAATCGTTTGTATATCTGGGTATCGAAAACTTCTTTCAGCTAGAATTTTGGCTGAGATATATAGTTGTGGCTATTTTTTCGGCCTGTGGAAGTTTTGTTTTATATAAATCCTGGCAAAAATTTTGATGACGTAGGTGAAAACCTAAATGGCGCCGGTAAATTCATTTTCATTCATAAGTTATCCAATCCAGATACCAAATGCGGGTGAAAAAGCTTTCATTCTATACATTAAATCTTGCAAAGACAGGAAAAAAATCATTTGGACAAAGAACAAGAACGGGAAAGCCTGTTTTTTACTAGCAACGCAAGCACGAGCGCGAGCACGAATTAATGTCAAATCAGGAATTCCTCAGGGGTCTGTATTAGGACCAATTCATCTTATGTTGTACTCTGCACCTATTGGTGATATTGTTCGTAGTTATGAATGTAAACTTTCACTTATATGCGGATGACTCACAACTGTATATCACCTTCTCGTTGATTGAGCTAGGACATGCCAAATTAAAAATGCAATCTTGAGGATATAGATAAAATGCAATCTTGAGGATATAGATAACTGGATGCATATAAACAAATTGAAACTTAACAGCGATAAAACTGAGGTACTTGTTCTATTTTCAATATATACCAATGGACCTCCACTTAGTACTTTGCAAATATCTGGTTATGATATCACACCCACAGCAACAGCTAGGAATATTGGTGTGGTTTTTGATGAATATCTATCACTTGAAAATAAGATATCTGCTGTTTGTAAATCCTCGTTTTATCAATTGTACACTCTAATTACCTCTAAATTAGATTTTTGCAACTCACGTCCAAAATGCACCTTCCCACGATTGTGAATTGGTTTAATCTTATAATCCACCTCGATCCCCAAGATCTTCTAGCCTCAATCTATTATCAAAACCTATTGTYAACCTTAAAAGGTATRGGTACAGGGCGTTTTCCCATGCAGCMCCAAGTTGTGGAACTCCCTTCCCATGATTATTAGAGCCTGTCATTCTCTATCGACTTTATTCATTTAAACAGAGTAAARCACTTTACAGTCTACTCATAAACTTGTGGCCTCAGAATTTAGAGTAGGGTGGCTTTATTTTAGGTAAAATGGTAAACACTGAGAAGCATCATTTACGTAAATTAGGCATTATATACATAAGAACTCCTCATTGGGAAGAGGGGGATTGTCACAAGATTTTCGTGACCCTTTGATTGAGGGTACCACCCTGACACTGACCGAGGTTAATACTTTATTCCAGGACGTTTTGKTTTTGATACTATAAYATTCCYCAGCAATAATGAATYGACAGGGAGGATAGTTAATGGATGCAAGGGTAGCCATTCACAGTTRSAAWGAATCGACAGGGAGGATAGTTAATGGTGCAAGGGTAACCATTCAGTTGCAATGAATCGACAGGGAGGATAGTTAATGGATGCAAGGGTAGCCATTCAGTTACAAATTATTAATGGTAAGAATGATTTCACCCTCAACTTCAGCCAAATATACTTATAATAAGAGCACACACACCAATTGTAACGTAAAATTAGGTCTTTACTTCACGAGTATTAACCTTACCCTATTAAATTCATTCATGAATAAAGAACCTCTTGGTAGCCTTTAGGAAAAAAAATTAAAGAATAATCGCCTAAAAGAACTTTGTACAAGCGAATATTTATCATTTTCAGAGATAAGTTGACTGAAGTAGACTTGTTTAGTCCTGTGATAGTTTGTTATCAATGTTCTTATGGTACTTGTGTACATAAAGATAACAGTACAGTATAGCATAATTTTATATGAGCTTCACAAATGGTTGTTTTCCATTCGCCAATGTCTTCCATTTGTCTCGTGTTCTTGACGTGAGGTATTGTACTCTTAACGTGATTTACACGTAACCCCTGACTTTTAATTCTTACTGGGGATATAAGAACAAATACGCGTTTTCCCCCTCGGATTCTTATATTTTGTGATATTATATAACATCCATTCCCTTTTGGTGCTTTTATTGGTTGTGCTAACACGACGTATTGGAATGTAATAAATTAATCTACTAAGTGATCGGGTTCCGCATCTTTTTCGTATCTTCTCCACATTTTAAGGAACAGATCTTCCAGGTCGTGTGCGTATTGTCTTGTGTTGAACAACGGACTTAAAAATCGATTTTTCCAGACTTTGATCCTTATTTTTTCGTAACTGTTCAAAAAAGAAAAAGATTAAGAAAACATTAATGAATATCCACCCAGGAAACTTGCGTTTATATTTGGGTACGGTTGTCGAGTAGGGTAATCAACAGACGAATTATAGGGAAATTACCGGTATCCTCAATTTGAATAGAAAAGATGAATAKAAAGGAATGACATTAGTACAGAAATCTTTCATTCAGGCGCTAGGTCATAGTGCTAATCCCCTTTATACAATATTCTGTTTTAGGAGTATTTAGGAGTATACAGTATTAGTTGTATAGGTGCTATAGCGTTGGTACTTACTAAACTTTATCGACACCAAGTTTGACTGCAATCTCTTCGTAGTTACTTCGTGAATCAGCGATAAGYTCTGGACATCCTAATGCAGTCAACTGTGACGAAGCCACTCTCGATGCTAGTGTATCTAATGGRAGTGTAATAACAGGACAACCTGCCCAAAGTACATCCATACACGTTGTGTGACCATTACACAAGGGTGTGTCCAGGCACACRTCGGCTAACTGACCGCGTCGAACATGCTCTTCCTTTGGAGCAACCGGCGAGAAAATGACTCTATTTTCAGGTACACCCTCAGATGTCATTTCAGCCTTGATGTTTGCTTCACCAACCGCTGGAAATCTTAATAGCCAAAGAACAGAATTGGGCACTCTCTTGAGAATATTCGCCCATACCTTCAGGGTTTTGGGATCGATTTTGTATAGCTGATTGAAGTTGCAGAAGACGAAAGCATCCTCTGGGAGACCATACTGTGARCGGCATGTGTTTGATGCTGTGTTAGGGATTTTCTCACCGCTGTCTTTACAYCCTTCGTACTCTTGTTTTTTAGCCTCAACAAATGAAGGAATCCTACTAAATAGGTTTGGATTAATCTCTCCGTTCAATAGACGGCTCAGTGTGTGAGGTTGAATGAAGCCGTTGGGGACATTCTCGACGGTTCCGTCATTCGATACCGTCCTTAGAAACTGCATCAAGTGAGGGAACATTTGCTTGTGGTCTCCCACGAAGAAAGTGTTAGGCATGTATGCCAGCTTCTCGGAGTACTGTTCAGCACAATCCAGAGGAGAAGTTGTCTTGTCGGTAACAATGTAGTCCATGTAAGGGGCTCCACTAGTTCCTGGGTAGCCAAGCCACATGGTCTATTGGACCCAAAATCAATAAACATTAATAATCATAAAATAATATCCCCATGTCCAAATAACAGACATATACTACTAAAGCTGCRCCATTGTTCGTATGAGATGAAAACTCCCTCCCCTCCCCCCAATGATGGAAAGCAACCTTGACTCATTAGAAACTGAATGGTAACAATCTAGACGTTTGYTATATATAAGAAATAATTATTTGATTTGACAAAGATAGTGCCACATTTGCYTGCAGCAGGAATTGTTTGAATTAAGAGTGGAAGGCTAGATCCATACCTGAATTGGAGCAGCTCTCAAAGCAAATATCTCATTACGTGCACCCTTGGTGTATCCATTCATGTTGACCAGAACGTGAATACCATCTGCATTWATTCTATCAGCAACCTCACCATGACAAGCCATGGATGATACATCMACAAAGTGCTCTGTTTCTTGAGATATCTTTTTACGAAAGCTAGTGTTATCATCAGGTGTCAAGGCATAGCAGAAAACCTGGCAAAAATGACAAAAAAACAATGAGAAAGAGAAATGGAAAAATATTAACTAAAAAAAAATCATGRAGAAATGTTCTCACATCAAGGCCTTTCAACTGTTTATTGAGCATCAAGGAACTCTATCTGTTTTATGTGAGGGTCAGAATGCAAGTTATGGATATGTTATTTTTTCCATTTAGGCTTTAAAATATATTGGCGAAGTATATTTAAAAAWTTGTAATTGGGAATTCTTAAGATAATACAACAAAATAATATAACAAAAGTCCAATAAAAAGTTTTGACAAAACAGATTTTTGAATTATTTTGCATTAAAGACAAGAAAATCTAATCAAAAGTGTAAAATTTTGTTCAGTTCTATTGGGAATCRGTCATCATTAGCCATACATGCATGCATACTCAAGTAAACCATTTCGAGCATCTTCAACATCTGTGTTGACAACTTGAGCGTTAAAATAAGTGAGTAGAAAGTGCTTCTCTACATACCTCCACTTTACTTCTATCATGAAATCCTGGTATACTTTGCATRAGATGAGATGTAGGGTGATTACCAAAGTCACTTGACACATAGCCTATTCTTAGCCGCCCACCAGACTCTAMCAAATCCTTGGGGTATGTGTACTTTGGTTTACGCAGTAATGCAACCTATAAAAATAAAAAAWMAAAAATTCATATTTAATTTATGTACTGACCTTAACAAATTGTTCACAGTTTTCCAAACCAACYATGATTAMAAAAATGCCAAACACCATTGACGGCTGAACACGAAATTAGCTTCAAATTTGAACATTTGACTAGAACTGGAATGATTTTATAAGTTTTGACAAATTATAAGTTGTAGTACATTTGAGGGCCACGTGTTAGATAACTCTCTGGGTTAATTGTGTCACCCTCCTTAAATAAAGTTCATTGTATTGTATTGTATATAATACTAGTGTTGAGCAAGTTGCGTGTAGCCAGCGAGAAAGTAATATTTGTTTGCGTTGAAATTTTACAATACCAGAAAAATTGTTCTAAAGCGTTTTTTTTTAAATTCAACATTTTGGTTATTATTTAATGGTCGGATAAACCTACCTTTTCAACGCAAAGGTTACCATGCCTGTTAGCAATAGCCTTGCGGAACTCATGAGTCAGAGGGTATAGCATACTGTGATGTGGATGTACTGAAGGTAATCTGTTATTATCCAACTGTTCAGCAACAATGCTCACAAGCTTTTTCATTCTAGTATCATAGTCTGTCCAATCACAGATGATCTGAGTCACAAGTAGTAGAATCATTAGTACTTTAACAATATACCATGTTCACATGACCAAAACATTATGGATAGTTACCTGTAAACAATGAGCTAGGTTACAGTATGCATCTGGGAAATTAGATTTTAGTTTCAATGCAGTTCGATATGATTGTATTGCCTCGGGTATATTCCCAGAATCCTATGGAATAAAGATTAAAGCATGAGATGTCACTGAATATTAATCAATGTTACTTCCGTAATGCACTACTTTGACAATACATCAAGGCATAATGGGGCAAATAAAGCTTTGTTACAGCAATAATGCAGCAATCAACAGCTCATCACAAGAAAATACGACAAAACATTAACTAAAATACACCTATTTCAAAAAACATTGTCATCGCCAAAGGCGCRATAGGCAATAGGTGATAGGCATAAATCAATAAGATATATGTCATTCCAAGATCCAAGAATAGCTGGAATGAGTTGTGCTTCTTCTCATTCTCATCGAGAGTATGGACCTTCATGCTGAGACTGATTCGATGTCTTTGTATTCAAGGAAACAATTTCATGTCGGAATGACCTATCGCCTATCGTCTTTAATGATGACAACATTTTTTGAAATAGGTGTATATATGGCTATACCCCCCAGACATCCAAATGTTAATTTATCAATTTTCAACTAATGTTTTCTTTGCCAATATAACACCTGAAATAATGRATCTTCATTATTCAAGTAAAGGTGTTCTTTCCATTTCTGGCATTAGTTTTTCACTCAGTTTAACTTTAACTCATTTGAATTGGCAGCCACCATTTTGGCAAAGGGTCTAATATCAGGCATTTTTTAGAGTTGAAAAAGTGCATGTTTTTGGTTATCCATTATGCTTTATGCTAGAGATTTGTTCTTGCACATTGGCTATTCAGTGCCTTGAGTGCTTTTACCAAATCAAAAAGAGATTCTATCATTTGATTAATGTCAGCAGAAAATAATATATTTATATACCTTATGCACTGAGGCTAAATTRCTGTGTGCATCTGCAAATGCAGGGTTAATCTGAATAGCCCTAGTGTAGCACTGGATGGCACCTTGGATGTCTTGCATTTCTTTAAGTAGGTTACCCATGTTGGAATAAGCATCAGCAAATGTYGGGTGTATCCTAAAGAATATTTAAAATAATCAATGATGAAAACATCTGTTGTACCTTTATTATAAGAGAGTTTCAGATTGGTAATTCTCTGATTAAAAATACTGTTTTAATGAGACTGTCACAGCTGTTGCTTTGCTCTATAGCTTTGACACAATGTACAGCAAAAGAAAAAAGTTTTGACTGGCAACATAGTGCCATACCTTATAGCTTCCTTGTAGTGTAGAAGAGCTTCTTGCAGCTTTCCTTGTTGTTGTAGAACACTTGCAAGATTAGAATGAGCAGCAGCAAATTCTGGAAATATCTGGAGAAACAGAAAAATRAGATTAAAAAAACTGAAAAACTAGGAATTTGGAAAATATAGACCACAGTCATTTTTATTTTTGAGCCTCAWATGGCATCAAGAATTTGGTAAGAGTATGTTATTTTTTATGTGTGTGCCATAAAACCTTTTTACAGAGCTTCTCAACCACAAGCACAAAATCATACAATTATTTTTTTGTCAACAAAATGGAGTTTWGTTGGATGTCAATCAAAATTTCTCCATAATATTGTCAGAAAAMACAAAGCTTTCAAGGGCTCGTGCTTATAGAAAATCATGGAAACGTCTTGGTTGATGTCCACCAAAACCTATTTTATCACGACAGCTAATAATATTGTATGATTTTGCATGTGTGATAATACACCAATGATAATACTCACATCTAGGGCTTTGCAGTACAGTTTGATGGACTCCTCAATCTTTCCTTGTTCTCTTTTGATATTGGCCAGGTTGTTAAGTGAGTCAGCATGCGTGGGACATAAACGTAGAGCTGTATTGTAACATTCTTCAGCCTTACCAACCTATTTTTTAAAAAGGATAAAATGTTYATTTTCAAGCACCGAAAAACAGTTATCAATTGAATTAAAAATCCTTATTCACTTTCAGATTACCTTGTGTTGTTCTTTAAGAGCATTTGCAAGATTACAGTAGGCATCAGGAAAATTGGGTTGTAACTCAATTGCACGACGATAAGTGTCAACTGCTAAATCAATCAACCTAAAAAATAATTCAGATGGATTTGTCAGTAACATTTTTTTCCCCCACAACAAATATGACAAGTTGACTTACCCTTGTTCATAATATACACAAGCAAGATTACCATGCACTACTGCATGGTTGGGACTTAGATTTAAAGCTCTCAGGTAGGCAGCAACAGCCCTGGAATAAAGTAATGTTTATGATTAGACATTGTTGATGTTTTTATCATTATCATTGTTATCATTATAAGAAGCAACATGTAATAGAAAAAACAACAACAACAAAAAACTCACCTGTCAAATATTCTTGCCTCTTTTAGAACATTCCCAAGGTTAATATAAGCATCCAAGAAACTTGGGTCAAGCTGAACAGCCTGAAATCAAGTCAAACAGAATTTACAGAGGTCCTTGAATTTTATGACATTATTTCTTACAATTATTTTCTTTATCATACACAATTCACGCATCAATTATGGTGCTAAAGGAGGTGACTACAGTCTATATTATAAGAATTGGTATTCTTGAAGGATAATTGGGGACCCAACAACTCCAGGGGTATGTTTTAATAATGACATGACTTAGTAATGTATTGTCAAACAGAAGCCAAAATTATCATATGAATAATATTATTAGCTAACTATAATAAATAACAAATACCTTTTCAAAATGGTGGATTGCAAGCCATATCTCTCCTTGAGCATTGAATACACATCCAAGGTTACTCCAGGCAACTGCAAAGCTGGGTTGGGTCTCAATGGATTTGAGGTAGCATGCCTTGAGTTTAAATTGAAAACAGCAAAAAAGGGGAAAAGCAGAGCGAGAGAATACAGGCCAGCAGCAAAGCAAGATAAAAAAGCAAAATCAAGCAAGAACAGGCAAAAAAGAGAAGAGCAGCAAAAAGAAAGTTATGGTTTTTGTTCTCATCCTTTCTAGTAAAAATTAATATGACTACTTTTTTCTTAGCTGGTCCAATGGAAAACAACATTGAACCAGCTAATTGGTATTGCTTCAGCTGAAAATAAACACGTCTTGAGTATTGGTTAGTTTCCAATACATCCTCCCTTGCAAAGGTAGCATTGTACAACCAAATCTCAGGAACTGATCCCCTCATAGTGCTAAAATATTCTGTTGTAAAGATCACTTTTKTGATTGAAGCCTGTGAGTACCTTTATGTTGTTCATAACAAAGAAGCACCATAAATATAACCAAGCACATATACATGGAAGGACTTTGGTTTGATAAGGGTCTATAAAATTTTTAATTAATAATTCTCAGTACTCTAGTTGTGTTTAATTTAAATGCCATTCTTTTTGACTTGGAGAAATTTAAAAGTGCCACACAACTAGAGGTATTCACAGCCTTTCAATGCTCTTCTTAATATCTGGAATGACTGGACTTGGAATACAAAGGAAATTAGTACCAAAAAAAGGAAACAACTGAAGTGTCGATCACATTCTTTCCTTCATAAACAAAATCTTTCTTTCCAGAAACTAACAATCAGGAAAAAAGTGACCATTCAAAAGAACTTTATGACAACTATAAGGTGTATCCATTGACTGGTAAATTGAAACAGTTCTTGAGTATTAAATAAAACAAATAAATAAATGATAAAATAGAATTTTTGCAATCTAACTATTACAAGGAAGGATGTCTGCTTTTCCCAATAACTTTACTTGTCTCAAAAGCATGAGATTAACCATTACAGAAAAGAGAGTAGAGTGAGCTGTAGTTTGTCAAAGAAGGCAAGGCCTGTCGTGCTCACTGCCAATGAAATATTACTTCTAGGCTTATATGGGTTTCGTTCATTTGTATGTATCCAAGACAACTCACAACTTTAAATTTGTGGCAAAGAAAGAGCAACAGTCCATGTCTTACATTTTTTGACATCCTAGGTTAAGCAGAAATAGGGCCAGCATAGAAGAATGGGGCCAGCAAAGATGAATTGGAACAAGTTGTTGGACTGGAATTATGGGCAGACATGCTTGTTGGTCTTTCTGATGCCCCCAGTAACATGTAGCAAATGGTTTCCTTCAGCGGGTGTACTCCATCTATGATTGACCCTATGATTATTTATGAGAAAGAACAACAAGAGGGGAAAGAAAGGGATAATTTAATACAGACCTGTATCTCTAGACTAAGAGATGAGTTATCCTTCACAKGAAATTGAAGACAAAATAAGAGAATAGAGTTGTAAGTTTTCATATTTTTTCTTAGGCTTTATTTAGACCTCAAAACCACAAWGACAAAAGTATATTTTTTTAATGAAAAACTGAACAACCTCTATTCTCTTCGTACCCTTAAGTACTGTGATGATTTCTACTAACTGTGGAATGAAAAGAAGCCATGGGTGGTAAAGAGAGGTATTTGAACTCTTAGCCTTTAATTCAGGTTAATCCAACTGAGACAAATAACTGAAAAACCTCTCTTATCATCAATGGATTCTTTTAGAAGATGTATTGCCTTGGTTACTGCATGTTTAATTCCAACCCAGGGTTTAAACAGCTTGRTAATAATGTATTCAAAGCATGAAAGTCAAGCTAGACTCTAACCTTTAGTTTTGGAAATAGATAAAAATAACATTCCAGCTTGACTGAATACTGTAGCACACACTCTGATTAATATTGTTTACTATTCAGTGTCTGTGTTACAGAACTTATAATGTCATCTAGGGTGAAATACCAAATGCATTAACCAATCAATAAGCAGAAATAACTAAAAAATGTCATGGTACATGTACTGGTAAATTGAATTCAAAAATAGGTATTGTAGACTCTCGCTTTTATTCAAATAGCAAACATTGGAARCTAAACATTAAGAACATTGATTCAGTGCATTGTACCATAGACACAGCCATCAACACTTTCCTTCCTTGTAATAAAATTGTACCATTACTTAAAATATTTAATTGTTGAATTTGGGTGCACTGCAGTCAGTGTACCCCAGACCCAACAACAAAACTTACCTTCGCTTCTTCAAGACGTCCGAGGGCTTTCAAAAGGTTTCCCAAATCACTTCTCACACAATATAAATCCTACGATGGAAAATAAATCTTTTTGGGACACAGAAAAAAAATGAAAGCTTATCATCTGTTTATAGTATCGAATCAAAACAAAARCAAACACGACAATAAGATACCACAAGAAATTAGATCTTGCTGAATGAAAAAAAATGACGCCAAAAACGTGTAGAAAATTAGTGTAAAATCATCATAAAGAATCACATTTTAAAATTACACGTGTAATGAAATAATGTAATTTCTTCTACTAAGMATGGAACAATGCAAAATGTATTTAGAAAATAAATCTTTCAGATTTTTCAAATCGGAAGCTCGTGTGGTCCACCAAAATTGAGCTTTCACCAACATATTGTGAAAAGAGAGGCATACAATYTTTATTTCATTCTTTTGTATTTCACTTACTGGATTATATTGTAAAGCGGTTGCATACGCTTGAACTGCTCCTTCTAAATCACCAGCAGCCACAAGGGCGGCAGCTAGATTTATGTAGCCATCAATGAAATCGGGTTTTAACTTTACAGCATGGCGATAGTTATTGAGTGCATCTTTTAACTGTCCTCTTTCCTTGAACACATTGCCAAGGTTAGAGTACGCTTCTGCCAACATAGGGTTTTGTTTTATAGCCAGGGCACTAAAGTGAGCCGATCTGAATAAAAAAACAAGTCAAAATAAATAAGGCACCACCTTGGACTACGATAATGGTTAGACTTTCGAATGATTTCAATAAGTCATGAAAAATGCGCGGTGGTTTTGATACGACATTTCRAAACAAGCGAAACAAAAAACAAGCTAACCTGTCGAGTCGACGACATTGAAAATGGATGGACGATAATAAAAGAAGAACTCCGGTATTATTTGGCTCTCTTCTCCAGAGTTGCATACATATCTGCTCGGCTCTGTCGTAATTTCCAGTCTGGTATTCGCGATGAGCTATTTCGGCGAGAGTGGCTGGTGGAGAAGAAAGAAACAGATACAATGAAACACGGAGACAAACATGGCGGAGATCTTCATGGATTTGTGAGAAYTTTTGGCGGGTTTTGGCTTACCAGAATTGTCTAGGATCGCTGTTCCCATGACCATGGTTGAAAAAAGTGAGATTCTGAGCTACATAACCCTTTCAAGCACAGAAAAAAGGCAAAAACTRCTATAAAATCAAGATGGCGTCTATATCGTATGCAATGACAGCGACGTCATCTGCGCACACGCAAGGCAAGAAACTTTTTGCGTCTCACCAGTATAATTCGGTTTTTCAGACCAATAATTCATCTTCTTGGACCAAAAAAGCGCAAATTGTCCTTCTGAAAGGTTCTTTATGCAAAACCACAGACATTTAAATAAAAGGCAGACGAAAACACAGCAAATATTTCACCTAAAAATACTTTGTATTGAGGTCTCGTGCTGATCAAAAAGTATTTTCCTCTAAAGGTACATGTCCGTTGCTTGGAATGACGTAATCGTTGTTGCKAGTAAAACCACGTGAATGACATTTGTCAAAATTACTAAGTTAGAAGAATAGAAATGTTRATCAAAGATAAATCGAACAAAATTCCTTATTCTGAGCGTTGATGAATCTTTTATCATTAAACTAGCGATGGAAAGAAGATAACGTATTGTTGGAAGCTAGAAATGACACTTTTTTCAAGCCATTACTATTTATTAAAACAATTTTCTTTCAGAGAAGCTATGCTTATGGCTAAGAATTTCTTCCTACAGTACAAAAATCCTCCCACAATTACTCTTTCTCTTTCTTCTATAAATGATACATATTTAAAATTTTAATTTATATCCCGGAAAAATCCAAATCGATAATTTTCTACTTTAACTAATAAAAAAGCTGCTGGGGAATAGCTTGTTCTATTTYTCCCAAAATGGCATTTCGAATTTCTATAGGCCGTTGTTCGATGAATTTTTTATTTCGGCACAATCCTATCGAGACTTCCTGTCTCTGGCACTCGTGGCTTTGGCCAGTGTGGATTTGGCTGAAGCTGGCTGAGGGTCAAACGAAATACAATAGCAACTTGCCCATATATGTTCAATGCACGTGATAAGACGTGATTGGCAAGGTTTTTATCAATTAGATTGCATTGCTTAGAAGACATCAGTCCATTCTGGTTCTCTTGGAGGGAAGTCTGGTGATTGCATCGTACCTAAGATTCCAACGTAAGTTTGCCTTCATTTGATTACTCATTGAATGCTTTGACTCCGGCCACTGAGAATAGAATCACCACATTYTTATGTGCTATTCTTTTTATACGGTTTTAGAAGCAAAATGTCAGATAAACCAGACATATCCGAAGTCACAAAGTTCGACAAATCGAAATTGAAGAAAACGGAGACCCAAGAGAAGAACCCTTTACCGACGAAAGAAAGTGAGTAGCAAAAGATACTCTTGTATATTTAATGGGAGTCCGTTTAACTGCAATATTGCGAATAAATGTCTAAAGTAATAATTTTTATTTTACTAGTAGAAAAGAGTGTGGGTGTGTCGAACAGCATACGTGTTACGTTTGTGTGTCTGAAATGAATAGCTTTTCTAGGCATCCGGAAAAACCTAAAAATAAAAATKAAAAGAGAAACAACGCCCGTACTTGAAGGGGGAAAATCACACCCATATCATATTTCCCCATTTTAATTTTCCATTTATAGCCAATTTTATTTAATATTCTCACTTTTCAATGAGTGAGAATTGCAACAAGATGTTCGAGTACTGTAGCTTACCACCGTTGCATTTTCTTTCCATAGCTATTGAACAAGAAAAGCAAGCATGATAGTGGAGTAGGTGATGGAATTTCCTGTGAGATAAATCTAGCACCTATATTGTTAAATAATATTTTATTTTCTCAAGGAAGAAAGCTGATTGTAAATTTAGTCTGCTATTTGATGTTTGGTTGTCCAGAAAAGCTTAAGACTGAGAAGCAAAGCACTCAGACAATTGCTTAAAATTACAATTTATAATAAAAAAAAACAGAATCACTTAGGCAGTAATACTCATTTCCATCGATCAATTGAGATGTTTTACACGATGTCAATAAAGCTCATCGTCAAGTGACRCTTGTGTGACTCTTTATTCCAACTTAGGCGTTCCGCTTCCATTGATAAGTTAAAAAATTCTAGTACTTGAAATCCTTGAATTTACTACTTCGACCTTTTCAATGATCTCCCAAAATGCTTATAGCCGATCTCCCAACTTCACCTCCATATCGGCTCGGTTTTTTTGTTTATCTCTATTCCCCGGTTTTGTTGTAGATTCTATTATTTATTTAGTTGCTTGTGTTTGTGTATAACACAAGAATACTTATGCTATATATATGACGTGCGCGTCGGTTTTTTTTTTTTTTTTTTTGCAAGATACAAAAAGGCGGCTGTTGTACTGCTAAATCCAATCCATACATAGAATTTTATTAGACTATAGTTTTCCCCTACTAAATCCTTTGAGCCTTTGTTGGGGCRTTAGTTCTAACACTCTAAAAAGCATTGACCTGTGAAATAGGCTTCATGCATGACTATCGAAGAATAAAAGATTTTGCCTTATTTTGTTTTTTCGAACAAAAGGGCACTTATTCTAATTTGAATTTTTTATCGTCGGCATTTATACTGCGACGAATAGAATAAGTATTTTATATTAAATTAATTTATTTTCTTAAGAATTGTTTCTTACGTCTAGCATTTCCACATGAATTGATCTAACCATTTCATTTAGAATCCAACTTTTAGAGAAAGTCTTAATTTACATATGAATTTTTTTGCTTTCAATTTTACATGTCATTTGAATTTATAACAATAGAATTATCAGTGGATTAACAAGATCTGAATTTTTCATTACTTGAAAACTAATTTTACTCCAGAGTTGGTAAGTTTTCTTTTTGCCTTAAAAATTACTTGAGGCATAGAGTTACAGTTACGACCTAGTGATCATCAACAAAGTCCTGAAACTTGTGAAATGGGACTAATTTAATGAGGGGGGGAAATATGGATTAAGCAACATGCAAACTATTACTGTTTAGTGATGATTCAAGTGGGCCTGCAGGTGGATATCTTCAAAGGCCTAGRGTATTTTTACTTTCCTAAATATCAACAAATATCCCTGTTTCTCAAATCATATTTGAAGTGGGATGAGAAACGATTTCACTAGTATTTCTTTGCATTTGTAGTTGCATATTTTCATTTGCATATTCTGAGATTACTTGAACAATAATTTATTTCTATTTGTCTGTCCCCCTCCCCCTGTAGAATATATACTTGCCCAGCATATAATGCTATGAGAAGTAGCAAAATTAGTGAAGTAGATCAAAGATCAAGTAGCTTTGCCTTTAATCTTAGCTTGCCAATATTGCCAATAATCAATTATTAGCTTGCCAATAATCAAAATGCAAGGGATTTGTGATCTGAAAAAAAACAACATATTTATCCCTTTGAAAGCTGGGATGTGATGTTTTTTAGAATTGTAAAGTTAAAGTTTGCCATTGATACGATGTARTAAGAGCACTGCATGGTTGCACTGAATTACCAAAAGGAATAGCCAGTATAAACACCACATCATTTAAAATTTTAATCCAGTTTTATCCTCATAAATATTTACCTAGTATGTTCAAGATCCTTCACCTTGTCCTAAAACTAATATATAYGGTAAAGACAATACCAATAAATGTGAAATAGTTATGTTAAAAAGTTCAATTTAATGTTTGAAAATTTCAAGTTACAAAATGTCTAGCTGAAGATCTCAGTCAGTTGTTACACGTCGGCCAATCAGTAAGCTCCACACAGCCTTTTCCTGATTGCATCAACATCTTATAGCAACATACAAATTATCTTGTCATATGTTATGCATAAAATGTGTCTGTAAATTTAACAAGATTACAATTTTCATTTTTAATAGCCTTTTTTAATCAGAAAATGCCCAAGTTTTAAATCAGGATGCCTTTAAAAGCTAGGAGATGACTTCATAAAACAAAAAAGAGAGTAGTATGTGTGACAATGCTTTTGGATGTGAATTATAGCAGCTGCAAGGACATATACATTACTTAATTGTACTWCAGCATGCCTTTAAATTTATCTTTATTCATATAAGCCACCAAAAATAGAATAATAAAAACAACAAAATTGTCAAGTGAAAAAGCAATAAACAGCACAGTGAGGTTCTCCTGTAAATTTRATAAATTTAGGATATTTCATTATTTTTCACTTCAGTAATGTCAGTGTTGGTTGTAAAACAAGAGTGTGTTATGGGTTTTGAACATTAAACATCTGCTTTCATCAACTTCGACTCGCATAATGCTTTTATTTATTCCATTGCCATTTGATATGATGGTTAATTAAGACATCAATTTAGGTATTATGATAAGGCCATAAATGCCAAGGCGTTCATTCGGACTGTGTCAACAATGATTTAAAGATACAAGGAATTTTCAGGACTCGTCACTTCTTGARCGGTAACATTTGTTGCGCTAATTTTAAATAATACATAATTACACAGTATTAATTACAGCATTTTATAACTACTAGCTGGAGTACTAAGGTAGGCTGAGGATGGGTCAATTTGGTACGTCTCGCCCCCTTTAATGGAGAACAATCGGTGCTAGCCCTAAGCTGGCAATATGACTGCATTCTTTCAATGATATTCTTGGAATTGAGAACAGATGTGAGTGCATAAGTTGCTTTAAGCCTACGGTATACCTGGTTCACTGGAAAAACAATTGAATTTTTTGCACGTTAGGGGAACCTGTTTGGACAGGTCGAGCTCTGAAGACGATTGTGTATCATTAACCATAATCTGATGACAGAAGCTGACAACAGTCTCCCCTTGATTTCCGACTTCCAGCCMATCAAACTATAATTGCCTTTAACGTAACTGCATCACATTTTAAGAACATGTTTTGATTATATATTTAGCTTCTTCAATCCCCCTCACATTTTTCTACTAAAGAAATACCATGAAAGTAATAATAACATATCCTTGTTGAACTCAAAAACGGACTAAAGAAAAGAATGCCATGTATGGATATGTAAAATGTCCAGTTTATAATACTGGCCAAAACTAATARCCATATAAACCCAAAGTTCAAACATATTCATTTCCGATACTAATACGATGACTCAGCTACTATTACGAAGTCATGTCTGCATCTACTATATTATTACATAGTTAATTGAGGCAATACGAGCAAAGATACTCTGTATTTTTTGCTGCATATCATACGTCTGCAAGTTTTCCCCTTACGATATTCGATGACATAATTATTCAGGAAAACKTAATATGCCAAACCTTTTACGAACTCGTACCTTCTGGTTTTCTATTGTTTAGATTTTTTTGAAAGGTTTTATTGTAGGCCTTTTTACTGAGTAGTTGTTTTAGTAATACAATATCCACCGTGTATAAAGCGGGCTGACCGCGCTTGTATGCATGACTCACAACTGTGTAGTCACGACAGTTGTGAGTCATGAATCGCGGCATGAATCGCCACTCTAGATCTTTTATGATTCATTATCAGTTCTCTTGCTAGTCATKTACATTTATGATTATTTAAAGGTATCTCTCTTTTCTCAGTTCTGACGAATTATATCGATGGTGTTCCCTTGAAATTWCAAAACAGACTATGTTCAAGTCGTGAAAGGATAGGGGCGTGGCCACGTGCACTTTTACGTACGACATCCGTAGTGCCTGCAGCTGCTCACTATTTAGTTTGGTTCAAGCCAGACGACCGGAAACAATCTCCTTAAAAATCCTAAAAAGGCAAGTTCATTTCTGAGGCTAAATATTCTATACAGSCCACGGCTTTTTTCACGGCACTAAATGCTATATGAGGGCGTGTAGSAATCCAACTCTCTCAGACCCTGCTATACGCAGGCTCATCCTACAAATTACACTGATGAATCGTAACTATGGATATTAATATGAAAACCAAACTTCGACTGTATTCTCAACCAGGGCGTGTGTCCTTTTAAGTAGAAAGGTGGGGAAAACTAATGTGCAACAAAAATTAGTCAGCAAAGAACAYGTGATGGCAAATGAAACGCCGGCATTGCTTGGAAAATTTGTTCAAATCAGAGGTATGGMTACGTACTGTGACACTAAGATTTCAGTCATCTTGGTATTATGAAGCTGTAAAGTGCTGATCTCGAAATGAASAATTTGGCATTTCAATTAATTCTAAGCTTTTTTATTGTATGGGAGATCCAAGCCATTTCACATGAGAAAGTAGCCCGATAGTGTGGATCGAAGTTTTTGAATGCCGTGCAACTTGGCAGAGAGCCGGGACTTGCTATTAAAGCAGGGTTTTAAGCCGGCGGCCGCCGGTACATCGTGACTTCATCTATCCTGTTGGAACCAAGTCAACTGACTTTAAACAGCAGACAATACTGGCAAATTCTGCGCGAAATTCCGACGGCTTAACCCCAACTTGCACTTCATGTGTTTTATCCACTATTCTTTATTTGGTACATGCTCAGATTCATTMCGCGTCCACCATATCAAATTATTATCCCCGTTTTACAATAAATTGAYACAAAGCCAACGATGTAAGTGAAGAGTGCTATTCTTATTGTTTTCAATAATTGTTTTGTTGCCGGATCAGCATTGTATTGTTGCACCGGCATATTACAATACATGTCATATCATGGAATTAACGCTACTGGAATGAAAACTATACCCTCTTTATACGACGCCAGGTGGACACGATTCCCAATTCTTCRTTTGCACCGCGTTACGTCATCGCGKCCATGTTGTGGTACCATTTAACAAAAAKATTTCTCATTAGCATCCATTGTTAACGGTACCACAATGGCCGCCATGTTTTTGTCTTTTAACTCTCTTGGGAATGCTTGCAACCCATCAATCGATCATCAGTTTTCTCCCCCCTCGGTCCCGACACAGGGGTAGCCACGCAAGCTTCCCGCAAGTAAATGCAGATTAAATGCGGGTTGCCTCATGGGTAGCCCAAGCTAGGTTTCTGTGTTTCTTAAAAAAACTCAATAAAATAAAGTAAAGAAATCTTAGCTGACCTTTGAAAAGTAGAACCTCTTTCGCTCTTTGTACTTAGATTTTGGAGTCTAATCAGTCTTAACGCGTTTTTTCCCCCTCTAACGTTCGGATATCCGGGACCGAAAAGGCTGCTGAGAAGGAGACTTTGGTTCCGAGACAGGGCAAAAAAAAACTGTTTAAATCAAAAATATAATACACAGGGCAAAAAAGGTACTAATTTTCAAAGTTTTTCAAAAGCCAAGATTTTTTTACTTTTAATATTTCACATTTTGACAATTTTTAATATATTGATATTTTAAGTATCGTTTTTTTAGTRTCGTACGTACATTTTTAGAAACCTAACTTGGGCTACCTGTGGTTGCCTGTGGTAGTCTCTGTCATGTGACCTCGTTTTTCTGGTGCAATTCAGTGCAATTCTCTTTTCAAAAGACCAATATGGGGCTGGATTCAATCGTCCCTTCAATCCTTAATTTCCTTTCCTCGCTCTCTTCTCCAATCCAGATCTTACTCTTAGTGGCTGTTGTGTTTGTAATAAGAAAAGTCTTAAAGGCAAAATTCGATAGACCGATAGAAGAAGAGCCTGAAAGGCCGCTCGAACCGTTCAAGAAGCGGGACTTTACGATCGACGAGCTGAAGGAATATGATGGAATCAAATTTCCTTATGTTTTAATGGCAGTCAATGGCAAAGTATTCGACGTGACTAGAGGAAAGGACTTTTATGGACCAGGTATTGTAGCTGTAGTTTAATAGGTTTTCTAAGCAATATCTTTGTGTTCTGGTTGGTGTTTTTTCCCACGACATTACTTGTATCTGTCGCGTCTTTTATATTTTTTTGGAAAACATTTTCCAAGAAACTAAGTCTTGATGATTTAAGCTTATGTAATAATTTATCAGATTCATATTTATATGAATATATATGAAATTGAATAACACTTGTTCTACTCACGTTCTTTGCACTAGTTTTGTCTCGAAATAAATTTTCAAGTCGTAAGTAAAGAGACGTTTTTTTTATCATCTCACGTGGACGTTTTTCAAAGGTTTTGAAATATGGTGGACATTGAATCGCATTAAGAAGCGCGTTAAAAATAGTACTATTTTGGCGCTAGGTTTATAAAAACAGTTGCAGTCGTTGAAAAACTATCCATAAAAGGTATTGTAATGCAAATGTTTTGTTTACAAAAGATTAGAAAACGTGGTTAGAAGTGCTTTGAACGTTGGGGTATTTATTGAAGAAGCTCTAGCTCTACTTTACGCCTCAATATCCAGCTTTAGTAGGAATACCAAATTTAAAAGAACCACCTATTTTAATCGAAAATTCACAATTTTAAATTGGGCTTGGTTGACATCTCTCATTTTTTATCATCAATATCAACAAAAGTTTACACAAAACCACAGATTGAAATTATGACAAGCATGTACTGTGAACAAAAAACCCCTTCAAACCAAGAATGGGATTAACGAAGAAACAAAGAAAAGATATTAACTCAAGCTCAAATAAAACTACTTAGTAATTAATAAATATTATTCTCAAATGCATTAATAATTCATTGATAGGTCACCCAATARTCCCTTCACAGTTCCCTGCGCAATCTTGAAAAACAGCCATGCCTTTTGCATCTAAGTGAGACGGACGGTGATCTTGCAGTGATAGAGACATGTGAATAATTGTTCAAGGTGTTAAAAAAAGGTCTCTATCACTGCAAGTTTACCGTTCGACTCACTTCAATGCAAAGGCATGGCTACCTTTCAAGATGGGAACTGTGATAGGGACTACTAGATTAAAATGATGTACTACTTGGTTATGGTATTGGGTTTACTTTACAAGGATAAAAGGTAACCCTACCCTTGTAATAAGGGCTTACCCTAGCTTCTAGACATGTTTTCTCTTATTCATCCCCTTATATGCGCAGGGTTACCCAGCCTGTTGATCTTGTTAAGTCACTGGGAGGGATAACCTACCTTTAATGTTAACTTTCTTCAAACCTCTTCTGCACAAATAACTTAGCCATTAACACAAACAAGTAAATTAAGCCTTAAAATGAAAYTGTGGTAACTGTATTCCTGGGAATAACTAAAAAATACTGCATTGGATGCAAACAGTGTGAGAAATGCTACATAATAATGACATCATAAAACCCTAAAAGTATGACTTGTTTTATAAAACATACAGCTTGYTGCACAAATATACAACTTTTTTTAGGTACAATACTTTAATCTGCAAATATAATGCTTCACTGACATCTGTGGTAAGCGGCACTTTCAAGATGCAGGTGCAGTTTGAACAATGTGTTAAAAATTATGGACCAAACAGTGTTTTATGTTAAGTCTGAAGGTTAATTTGATAGCAGTCCTTCTCTTAGAAAAAGAAAAAATATCAACAAATTAAGTTGTCATGTTATTGTCCCAAAATGTGTAATAAACAAATATTATTACATGTTAAAAACCTGATATCCATTTTATTCTATCGTCTTCCATATGATATCACTCACTTGCTTGTGGACTTGTTCATTTGTGATATTATGATTCTTTTATGGAAAATCATGAATAAAAACGATATCAAGCTCTAAACATGTGATAATCTCTATAGTATTATTTTGTTATTATTTTTGAAGGTGGACCTTACAGTAACTTTGCTGGACATGATGCAAGCAGAGGACTGGCTACATTTTCATTGGGCCCAGAAGCAATTCAAAATRAGTATGATGACTTATCAGACCTAAATAGTATGCAGATGGACTCACTTAGGGAATGGGAAACACAGTTTTTGGAAAAATATTACCTGGTTGGACGATATTTAAAGCCTGGAGAAAAGCATCAACAGTATGAAGAATCTGAAACTGAAGAAGAAGATGGGAAAAGTGAAAAGAAGGAAAAYTAGACTGGAGAGTTAGTATAGCATAGGATGTAATTATTGTTTAAGATTTGAATAGCAAATCTTTAGAAGTGTGAAATCATACTTTATTTCAAGTTCATGTCAAAGAAATTTAAGCATCTGGATATACCTGCTGATTTTGTATTGTCTAACAGCCAATCAGAAAAAAATGGTTCATAGCTCTACAKGTGTCAACGTAAGGGGCTGAACCTTGCAAAGAATTCAAATTTTTTTWAAAGCACAAACTAAATTTGAGTGAAGTATTTTGGCTCGAAAGAAAGTTTGATATATTTACATCATACTTWAAAAAGGCCTTCCTTCATTAAAAATGAAACACAAATAACAACCTAATAATTATGGAAATCAATGATGCACCAAATTAATGTGAATCTAATTTCAAGTTAATTTGAACGTGAAGGTGGCTGCCTACCTTAGGAAAAAGTTTTCRAATCACGTTTTTTAAGCCCAAATTTAATGATTTTAAATCTTGAAAGAAAAAGGGGTTTTCCTGAGGTCATTTTYGAGATAATCACAGTTAAGCATATCAACAACTTTTGAGGAAAAAGAAACGACAAAAATGTCATGAAAAAAATTCACATGTCACTGGTAATCAMACTTTTGACTTTAATTTTTCAGAAATCATAAATTATACATGATTTTACATAATATTATATAAGTGAAATAATTTAAATAAAGTAAAAAATGTTTAGAAATATAGTAAGAAATAATTATTTATTTGTTTGAATTTTTCTATAGTAGGCAGCCACCTTAATTAAGGCCCTGTCCACACTATGCCRGATAAATTTGAATCCGTAACTTTCACACCGAAACCGGAAAAAAGTTTTCCGTCCACACATGAAAATGGAGAAAAAATTTCGTGTCAACACTAGACCATATTCGAAAAAATTCGTTTTCGGTAAAGAATTGTTCTGGATTCGCCTTCAAAWTTATCCAGCATAGTGTGGACGGGGCCTAATTTACAACAAAAATTTACATRCATTTTTTACTTTTACTTTTAGTAACATAGAACATTCATGAATTTAGAAGGCACATTTATTTAAGTGGCAATAATTTAGTGTACATGTATCATTAATTTCTTATAATAAGGTATCAGAGATCACACTTAGACATCTTTTACTTGTAGGTCCTGTTTTACTCTCTGTTCTAAATGTAGAGTCTCTTTGTAATAGAGAATGTTCCATTTTAAACCAAAACAATGAGCAGCATAGAGGTTTCTGTTTACCTTGCTTTTTATGGTTATAAAAATAAAAGAGTTTATTGTGTTTTGATTGCCTTATGATAACTCTAATATAAAAATGCTGGAGCTGCAGTCCGGTGTAAATAAAAATACTTAAAAGTATAGTAGAGTGAGCTATTTGGTAGATAATCACTATTACGAGTGATAGAGTGAGGGTATTTAACCCGTGAAATAAAAATTATTAGTCAATGTGTAATAGTCAAATTGACACAAAAGAAAACAATGGAATTCAGCTCTATTAAAGTGTGTTAGTGTAATATTTTTTTCACAGGTTTAGTGACTTCACTCTATCATTGAAGATCCTGAAATAAACTGTGTAGGTTAGTTTATTTCTGTTTCATAATTTGTCRCTTAAAGTTGCCAACATCATCCCTTCTTATGCCAGGAGGCACATACTATGGATGCCAGCAAACTGGTGAATCAAGACAAAAAACATACCATGATTACACCTCAAAACATCTAAGATTCTGCATAAAAACAACAAATTTTTAGCCTACATTCCTTTCTCCATGTGTCRGCATCCTTTTGATAATTYRTGGGARAGAAAWTTATYAGARGRTGCYAACSYRTGAAGAAGGGATTGCAAGACTAAWRGTTTGATGTTTGTGTGCGGAATTATAGATGTTTGGAGGCGTGACTGTGGCATGTTTTTTTGACTTTCAGCAGTTTGCTGACATCTGTAGTAAGGCAGTAATAAYGAGAGTTAATCTTGAGAGTTTTTGCAACCCAAACATAAGTGAGGATAAGAGGGGAAAAAACTGAGAAATACCACAAAAAGTTTGATTTTTTTAAAATTTTCTCTGTGCTTTATTTTTTTCCTGTTGGATTCTGTTTTAAAATAATTTGAAGTTAATTATTAGACCAATGTGGAGGAAGTGTGTTATGATGTTCCCATTTCAGTCATGTCTTTCCCTCTTGCTTATTGGATGAGGTTTCAATGATAATTTGATGACATAATAAAAACAGAATTTGATAAATGTTTTATTATACATTAATTKTTCAATACAAAGACCGTATAAGAAAAGTTTCAAAATAACACATTAAAAAACAATGTACAGATAGTCTTCTCTCTTTTGTTTGCCACAGGACTCCAAAATATAAGAGTTGCTGCAGAGGAGGCTAAACCAACCTATGAAAAAACCAGAAAACCCTCGAAGCACAGGAGAGAACCAACAAACAACTACTCATACAAAACTGAGCTAAGCGGTACTCGCACCCGGGTCGCATTGGCCCGCTACGCCACCCGTGCTTCCACATTTTTGCCTACAGATAACTATTGACCACTGAAAAAAATCACTGGCACTTGCCAATAGCTAGAATTATCTTTAGGTTCTCAACCAATGAGAATTTAGATTGTAAGGATAATGTATAATAAACTAATTTATTCTCCAGGCTGGTTGTGTGKACACACTATAAAAGTCAGGCTCACTAAAAATTTAGGCTCAGTTGCTAATTCAGTCGAGTTGAGTTTTCCCTTACTTGGTCACCAAGAGAGTGGGGTTGAGTGAAGCAGCACAAGGGGAAAAGTAGGCTACTTTTCCTTTCTCTGTGAACAGCTTCAAACTCTCCCCCAGTCAGCACATAACATGAGTCAGCACTTTCTTGCATGAGTAATGTCCTTTAAAAAATGTTCAATTGACAGGTGCAAACCAGTATGATAATCTAAGGTTAGGATTCAGTTCAAGTCTGCCCACAGGCTAACCACTCTAATAAATGAAAGGAAACAATTTTGTTTTTCTACTATACAATATACTATTAGTATATTGTATAGTAGAAAAACAAAATTGTTACCAAGGGGGGTAGGGGAGATGACAAAAAATTGATAGTGCGCGCATAAAAAGACAGACAAGACACCATTTAGTGTTTCCTTTCATTTGTTAGAGTGGTTAGCATGTGGTCTGCCAATACTCTTTCAGACTGGCTGCACTTTGGTGCTACCATTTTAATGGCTTATGCTAGACAGTCAACTAATCAAAAGAATGGGATTTTTACAATGTCTGTCATCTTGGTCTAGTCAGGGAATGAACCCACAACCTCTCACACTATACATAGCTATCGACCAATTAAATTACAAACAGATATGATAACCATGTTGATTCACTGTGGTGGGTTCAGGGGTGGTTCCATGCCCCTTTTTGAAGGCAGATCATGTACTTTACGTACACTCAGTAGAACTAATTAGGAATATTCCCCTTTGTGAAGCCAATCACGCCAGCTTTTTCTGCATGTAAACCAATGATTTTTGAGCCCCACTTTCTAAAATCCTTTATCCACCACTGCTTCAAGATGCTAAAAGGAAGCAATCAAATAACACAGCAACAGGCATCAATAGAATAGTCTAAGTTATAAGATAACTGTTAATAATCTCACATTGATTGGTTGGGAGAGCGTGCACTATGAGAGCACGCAGAACGCCACAATTCAGTTGCGTCATTTCTATCTAAAATAATGGTTATTGTATTATTTGTAGCTTACTAAAAAAGATAAAAAATTTGTTGGCTGTGCTGTGTGGAGTTATAAAGCATTATTGGGGATTGACAGAACACTTGAGAAGTGTTGAAAAGCACTCTGCTATGCATCATGCTTCTTCTAGCACTTCTCTTGTGTTCTGCCAACCCCCAGTTGCTTTATGACTGCACCAGCACACACATGCACATTTTCTATTTCTTCATTTTTGTGATTACTTCCAACCTGATTTAATATTACCATGCCTCAGGTAATAGATTATGTGCTTCTTGTTTGTACTACTCACTTTATCAACATATGACATTTGATAGCATTTTGGTTCACCAAAGCCAAAACTAACATGATCATCTGGACAATTTTGGCCTCCRAAATCGCAAAGCCAAAAACTTTGTTGAGCTAAGTCATCTTTCATAGATGGTTGAAGTCATGAAAAGTTTTTGTATGACTGTGAAAGAYGCACGGCACGAACACAGTCATGACATGGCAATGCAATAGGCCAGACCAATTACATTGCACGAGAACTTATTCTTCATCCAATCAAATGTCCGAAACACCGCACGGACATGATCACACCAATGTCACGGCACTGTCCGACCAAACACATTGTGCGAGAAAAAAATCCTCCAATCAAAAGTCTAGAGAACATCACGGTCACGGCAAGGCATGCATACGGCACCTTTTTTACAGTCATATGAAAACTGTTCTATCACAAGAAGTTAGAGTGATTTTACCTTGAAAGAAAAAGGGCTATAATTTTAGTTAGTACAAGTTTATAAAAAAGAAAACAATGGGTTAAGAGTATACTACTAACTATATTGGATACTATTTTTTCACGAGTTCACACTCTAGGAGGGAAAGGACACCATCTTATGCAAATATTAATATTTGTGATTAAAAAAAAACACCACTCATAAACAGTAGCTGCCTACTGATAACATCTTTTATTTATCATTATTCTGGTACATTTTTMCTAACAACTGATGATAACTTAGTTTTCTTGGCAACTTGCTTTCTCARAAGCTCTCTTTCTAGTTCATTTTTTCTTTCCTTCATAACATGTAAATTTTTAATCAATTTTTCTCTTAGTTCCTTTTCTTGTTGCTCAAGTTTTTCATGTTTCATTCTTTCTTCTTCTTCCCTTTTTAATYTTTCTTCTTCTTGTTTCCTTTTATTTTCCTCAATTTGCTTTAAAATTTGTAGTTCTTTGGCTCTCTTTCTTTTTTCTGCTTCCTCTTCAGCTTTCTTTTCTTCTATTCTCTTGATCAGCTCACCCATCAAATGAATTGCTTCTTCTTTTCTTTGGTTTTCCAGTCTCAKTCTTTTCTCAGCAATTCGCCTTTCCTTTTCTTTCCTTGCCTCTTCTTTTCTTTGAACCTCTTCCAGTTTCCTCTTTCTTTTTTCTTCTCTCTGTTTTCTTCTTTCTTCCTTTTTCCTAAGTTCTTCCATCATTTGTCGAACCTTTTCRGCTTCTCGCTTTTGAATTTCTAATCTTTCCTGATTTTTTCTCCGTTCTTCTTCCTCTTTTTCTTTTCTATTCCTTTCTTCTTCTTTAAGGTCTTTTTCTATTAATTTCTGTCTTTCATTATTTCTTTTTTGAATATTTTTTGCACTGAGATGACAYGTCCTATCAAAATCCACCTGGATATTTGCAGCAGCAGCTCTTCCTTCTCCTGAAATATGAACAACTTTCTTCCCTTTTAAACCAGACATAGCAGCAACAAATCCTTGATACTGTGAATACTGGATATAAACATCAAAATGTAAATGAGAACCAAAATAAAATGTCTGAAATTCATTCCCAGTTTTGCTCATTCTTTGTCTATATTTATCCAATATTGGGATGTCTATCGTGCGAATTTCCCCAAAATACTGAAAAACGGATTTGACGACCTCTTCACTAGGCTTATCACTTGCATCCTGAGATGAAAACCATTTAGACGGTAATCCTTTAATGACAACCGTGTCTGGTCGTTCGCCTGGATTACATTCATTCAGATTATTTGCGTCCCTAAAGAACGAATCCCACTCGTGTCTCGAAGGAAATTTCACCTTTGCTTCAACAGCTTTAACCCTCAAAGGCTCTGCAAAACCACTGAGTTTAATCATATTTCCATCTAGTTTACTTAAGAACTTAGATATGGCTGCTTTAGTTTCTGTTTCCCCCTCAAAACGAATAGTTTCCAAAGTCGACTCCACAACACGAAGTACAGCAAACTGATCTGGAGACACCATTGCCTTTAGTTTTTCCATTACTTCCCAGTTAGAAATTGAAACGCCAGCTACCTTAATCTCTGGAAGTGTTACTGAGATACATAGCTTGGCAATTGGCTTTAAATAAAGTTGTCTAATCGGGCAAATTTCGATAGCTTCACTAACATCACCACAGACCTGTGCCGCCATYTTGTCGTTGTCTAGATCCATGTGACTGGATGTTTGCTAAGGTTCCTGGGTTTTGTTTACATCATCGTCCAATATCATGGCGGTACTAGTAGAAGTCGGGGTACAAAGTTCAATCCATTCTTAAACCCAAACTAAATACGTAGTCAGATATACACTTCATTTAGACGATTAATTCATGGCTTGGTCATCGAATAGTTCTCCTGGGCATACATCGCAATCATTTCCAAGACACAAAGCCACTCAAATTAAGCTTCTAGAAAGGCTACGCTTGGAGAATCCAGTTTTGAATGTGGTTGCACTTCCCTCTCAACCGGTTCCATGTGGAAAGAACAAACTGAAGTTTCCTGACCCTAATAATGATTCTTATGTTATTCTTTCTTTGAATAGTCAAGCATCTAAGTTATCTTTGCCTGTTCACTACGAGTTTGAGGAAAAAGAAGAATTTGAAGRAGAAGAAGACGAATGTCGCTTTATGGGACACGTTAACGGATTATCCTACAGTTTACAACTACTGGCAGTCACGCGTTACTCACTAGATGGAGAAAAACTCTCATCTGAGCCATCAGAAAAAGCGTTCTACTGTTGCTGTCCTTTAACAGATAGAGGAAAAATTGATCAAGAGACAACCTCTGATGGTGTTTTCGGGTTTTGGTTTCGCCTTCTCAGTGAAGACATGCGTTTTCATTTCACAGTGGCATTAAGACTTGACGGACTTGATTTACTGCCCAAAGAATACTACAAGAATGACACGTATTTGTGTAATCTGAATTGCCAGGATGGGATTGTTTGCTCAGTAGAGTTTGATATCTATACCACAGCACGCCAACATGAAACATCGGGTACAATTAAAAAAACAAAAACCACTGGAATACAAGGGAATTCCGATGGAAAGACTGCATTATCTCAACTGTATTCGAACGACAAGTACAAAAAGTTAATTCAATCTGTGCATGAGCTAAAACTCGAAGCAAAATATAATGACCTAGAGCAGCTATTATCTCATGCCTCTGCTAGATATCAAGCAGACTATGATCTTAAAGTAGTTGTACTTCTAGAACAAGGGTCAGTGGCCAGTAGAAAGAGATTCTGTGATTATGCCAAGGAGCTATTTAAAAATGCAGTAGATTTAGTAGGAAGGTGCCAAAACAAGTCCCTTCTAACTGGGAGGATATATGTCTACTTGTCTGAAGTACATTTTAATGAGGGGTGTATTGGGAATGCTGGGGAAAGCCTAGCTGTCGCTAGAAAGTATCTGGAAAATTTTGATTTGTGTGAAGACCTAGGTGATCTATGTTTCTGTGAAGGGCTAATTCTGATGGTCCATGCCAAGAGAACACACACTTTCTTAAAGAATCTTATCCCTGAAGCAAGGGAAAAGTTTCTTGATGCAGCCAAGAACTACCATAGTGGTGTAAGCGTTTGCAGCATGGGTGATAAACTGAACTGTACTTATGTTAAGCTTGCATCTCTTGAATTGCAACCAATGCCTGYAGATGATGGCAAAGAACTTATTGTAACTGCTGAGCAAATGTCCAAGGCACAATCTTACCTGGAGACAGTACAGCAAGATTTTAAATCATTATCACAACAGACAAAACTATATTATTATTTATGCTCAGCTGAACTGTGCCTGGAGTTGAAGAAGGTTAATGAGGCTAATGTCAATTATAAACAAGCCTTGAGCCTTGCAGAAACTATTGGATTGCAAAACTATGTGCATGTGGACATTGCTCTAGAGGAAGTGAGACGATGTCTGGAAAATGATCTTGTGGTGGAAACACCTCTTGTTACGGAACAACAGGAAAATGATGAGACTTCAAGAGGGCAGGCTGATAACCTTGATGGTTACCTAGGAGATGAAAGTGATGAGGATGCCTAGCAAATTATAAAATGTTACACCAGTGGGGTAGGGACATTGAAGGAATGCTTCATTTTGGATGATGCAGTAACCAGATTAGAAATAAAATTACAGAATTATGATCTCAAGTGTAAGAGATAAACAACACTATTCTATGTTGTTAGTAGTTCTAGACTTAATCTTGGTTACTAGAGTCTCAAATTGATTTGATAACCTGAGGTAAACTCTTAGTTGAAAGAGCAATGTTTTCCTTTCGACTGCATCTACTTACTGTTGCAACTACTGTTGTTATGAGGTTTGCAACTTTCAAGGGTATAAATTGAAACTATTCTAATACATGTATATTTTAATGTACCATTTTAAGGACTTCTTTGGTGCCTTTCAAAAACTGATTCTAGAAGTTTTCAGGGAGATAAATGAGTTGCACGAACCCTGTTTTGTCCCAAGCAAATGCTATGCTGCCTATATCAGTTCCAATATCATGGATCAAAATACAGTCAACTCTCATCTTGCGTACACCCACAAGATGAGAGAAAAAGAAAAATCCCTGGCAAAAAATACTGACAAAGAAATGATAATAATTAATTTTGCTATTGCAGACACCATTACGGACACCAAGTAACAGTCCCAAGGGTGTGCATTGTAACAAGAATTGACCTCAATATTAAAGGAAAAAAAATCTCAAAATGTAAAGACAATAAAATTATTGGAAAAGATCAGCTGGTTTGATATTGCAATATTTTTGAAATCAAAAATTTGAACGGATTCAAGATTGTTTTATTTTTGTTGCACCTTCTTTGTCACAAAAATTTCATCAAATGAATATACACTAAAATAACTTGCTCTATAGCTTTAGCTTTGCTGCTAAATTAGAGTAATAATAATAATAATACATTTGTAAGGCACTTATTCTTATTCTTATTAGAGTAGATAGAATAAAAAGATTTTAGAGTTGTTATAAGCTTTATGAAGCAAACATACGTAGTTTGGATGGATTATTTATTTACAAGCTATTAAAACAATTGCTATTTACAAACAGTGTCATATTTCTTTTAGCAATTCTGAAAGAATTCCACTCTAAGGGTTCTGCTATTTATCATATAACTATCATGCACAAAACAGTGATCTATAATAATGAAGAGAAAATCTCATCAAGTTGTGCTTTTAAATAATGAAGTAAAATAGATAACATTCACTTCAGGATTTTGGAAATGGGTGGCTTACAAATAATTGTGTAGCACAAAAGTTTTGTAATGAAGAAGCTCAGTTTGTCAATTAGAATACCTTATCTGACAAATCGAATATTCTAAATGACTTTAACATAATTAACGATTGATGAAGAAAAATAAGTCCAAATTTCTTATGAAAAACCAGTCCAATTTAAGCACATTTTAAAATGAACTTTAAAACATGGTACCTTTAGTCCTGTAAAAGGGTTTAATATGTAATTATCAGTGTCTATGTTATACTGGAAGCAGGGTATGATAGGGCCGTAAAACATCTGGATTGATTATGAGGCTTCAAAGTTTGCATGAACCATTATGCAAAGTGTTTCTTTGGACTGAGCAGACGTCTAGATTGAGGGAATACTTCACTGTCTCCTTCATCTTTGTTCTCTGATAAACTGCTATCTCCATTCTTCTTCCTTTTGAAAAATCAGAAAGAAGTTAGATAAATACACTTTTGTTTTATCTAAGAAAAGGATTGTAGTCATGGTTCATCAGCTACTTAAAATCCTTGAAAAGCCCTGGAATTGAAAACGCATTTTCAAGTACACTTGAAAAGCCCTTGAAAATAACAAAGTTGCTGGATTCTCCTGGAATTCTCCTTGAAATTGTAACATATTTTCGATTGTAACCTTCTTGTAGCTCCAATAACGGCAAGGCATTGGTAACTCGTGCTATTTTCCTTTATCTTAAGTCAATATTACTGAGCTTCAAAACTTTTAAAGACATTGATAAAATGAAGTCATTAAAATAAGGTATTTTTGAGAACAAAATTCACAAACAAAATAGTCCTTGAATATCATAATTTTGGGCCTTGAAATGTCCTTAAAAAGTCCTTGGATTTTGTGTTTGAGATGTAGCACAAACCCTGAATTATTCTAATTAAGTTTAACCTGCTGGTATTCAATGTATGTTGATGTGGTGTTCTTAATTAGCAGTAATCTACTGCTTGCTGTAAAATTTTTATTGACAGATACTTTATAATTCTAGTTTAAAAAAAAAAACAAAAATAAACTGCATTTTAGACCCACAAAATCTTGTTGACTGGTAACCCTTTCTTGAGTTGGACATGTGCTGTCTTCAAATAATTTGTAGGAGCCTATTAGGACTCAATGCACATGGCAGTGATGCACAAAAAATTGGAAGTTTCTGGAGGTAGGGAGGTCCTTTTATTAATTCCCTTCTGTGTGGGGCTATGGATATTTTCTGGAACTGCACAATGGTCACATGAAAAATTCTTTATTTTCCAATAATATTGAGGCTCACTTGTGGTAAGTTTGATCCCCCACACACATGCACAAACATTGAATGTGTGAATGGATTTGCATGGATATATTGCACAAAGTAAACTTACTATTTGAGTACTTACCTTTTTCCTGTTTTAGGTCTGCTGGCAGTCTTAGGTCTGCTTGCTGTTTTGGGTCGACTTGATTTTGGCCTTGATGGCTCTCCACCTGATGTTGGGTATCCTATTGAACTGTAACTCAAATACACATCTGATATGTCTGTTTCATTCATCTTGGGACAAAAAGGAACAAAATTATACATATTTAAACATTATTAATAAAAGAGGGGGTTACTGTAAAAGACGCTGAACTAAGAAAAAAATATACATACAAAACTAAAGTACATTCTGTTTGTTAAAGAAGAAATCAAACTTCTCATACAGGGGTTGCAACCTCCACAAAGATGTTATTATAACTTATAAAAAGTCAACAATATTCTGGAACAGACTCAGGGAGGTCCTTATCTTTCCCGCCCAGGAATCCCTCAAAATATAAGAAATAGCATAAAGAAAATAAAATTAACATATTATATATTTATTACAGAGTGAGCCTCAAAATCCTACATCCCCTCCAATAAAATAATATATGTGAGTGGTAAGAGCCTTGAAGTAAATCTAATAATACAATAATTATCTGAAATCAATAAAACACCCTAAAACAGCTTGAGAAGAAAAAGATTTTGTGACAGCAACACTTCTCACCTCTTTATGTTTATCTTTAGGATCAGGACTAGGTGTGGCTCTTCTCATGTTATTACCAGTATAGGCAATGAATCTCTGTAAATACACAAACCCACATACAATCAAGTTATTCAATTACGTTTTCTGAGTAGGGTTTTCATGAAATGTCATGCCTGGTCAAAAATAGTGCTTACCAACTGCCATTCACCTAACTCTTCATTCCAACATTTGTTATGATCCAATAACTCCTAGAACAACACAATGAATGTTATGTTAAAATGTTAACATATGTGAAGAAATAGTAACCTAATTTACTTCTAACTTAGAGGAGGGGGGGTACTACCACCCCAACTTAGGTAGGGTTGGCCGCCAGGACCTCAAAACCCTGACCCTATCCCAAACCTAAAATGATACCCTATCCTAGACAAAATGTCCAAAAATGATACCCTACCCCAGACCCAAAAGCCGAAATCCATACCCTATAGGGCGGCACATACCTGTATAGCAAATATAGGGGAGTACCCCCCACCCCTTGGATATTGTGGCCCTTGATAATAAAAGTGTTCATATGAGAGGTTTTTCAAATATTCTGCAAACAACATATACAAATGCATTATTCATGAAGTCTTACCTGAAATTCTGGTGGAATAAAACTGTCTATAATCATTGCCTGGCACTGTAACTCCCTCCTCAGTTCTCTGATATTTTCTAGGAGTCCTTCGGTTTCTCGTTGGTGTTCCTCTTGCTGATCAGCCATCTAAAATGTCCCAAAAAGCGAAAATTTCAACTAACAGTCTATCTCATTTTATTACAGCTGATTATGCTGGCTGAAAGACCACATTTTAAAAGGATATCTTGGGGAACAAAGTGACCCCACCCAGTACTTTGGTTTTTTTGTTGCGTAAAAAATATTTTATATCAGTCCTTTGTGTCTGTCCTCTTATTGCAGATAAATCCATCACATTATCAAAATCTCAGAAACACTACTTTGATGACACAGTTTAACTGCAATTTCCAGTTGCCAAGGACCAACTGAGACCTAAATTAAAAATGAAAAAATGATTTGTTTTGGTGGACGTCAATCAAAGTGTTTTCTTTAAAATATCTTAATATGTTGATTCTCAAAATTTCAAATACTTGACTGCAAAGCTATTGGTATTGAATTACCTGATCTTGAAGACACTTAAATCATAGTCAATACCAATAGCTTTGCAGTCAAACTTGAAATACTGTGTAATCTTCGAGAAACTTTATCCAGAGCGAGAAATTCACAGCGACAAGAAGTATGAGATAAGAGCAACGGTTTTTGCACTTTGCACATGTTCAAATGAGTAGTCACACCAGTTCTGGTGTAGAAACTGACAATAACAAAAAAATCCCTTTTGATTGACATCCATCCAAACTCAATTTTTCGTTTGCGATGATGGTGTAGTTGACCGCGTGTGACTGAGAATTGCAGTAATGTCAATAAGAGGACTTACACATAAAAACTATTAAAATAAAATGTATTCATATTTGTTAAATTCATACTTTCTAAATCTCCCCCCCCCCCCCCCCCATCTCTTTGAAATTTTCAATTTCCTTCCATACAAAGCTCTTATGTGTAGATGTCCTTCAAGTGAGGCCATACACTACTATGAAACCACTATTGTATAATTGTTTATTTGCCTTAGCTTCTTACTATCACCATCATCATCATTAAAAATTGTAAAACATTTTAATTYACATGTAGCGTCTGATCGATGATAACAGTGACCAATGGAAGATATTTGGGAAAGGAGCTCCAGACACCCCTCCCTTTTATAGGGGAGTCTTTATTTTCCAGGGAATAAAGCTTTTGCTCTACCCTAAGTTGTTTTATCCCTTTTTGAAAATTTCTTGAATCTGTCCCTGAAAAAAAGAATTTCTATCTATGTGTGAACATTTTATCTAGGACCACATTTACAAAGTTTATTTCTATTTGTTCTAAAGGTGTTCATCTATTGCTCCTATAAGATGTCCAGAAGGTTACTATGCACCAGAAGGCAAGACAGCTTGCACAATATGTGACAAAGGCTTCTTTTGCCCTAATGTATCACTCAGTGCTCCAATACCTTGTACAAATGGTACCTTCACTGTTACTACAGGACAGACAGTTTGTACGACATGCAGAGCAGGTTATTACTGTCCATTGAGTGCAGAGGCAGAGATAGCATGTCCTGATGGGACTTACAGCAAAGCTGCATCCAGTTCTTGTACTGAGTGCCCTGCAGGATATAGGTATGAGAACAATACAAATAATTTCACTCAAAATTACTTATAAAATAACTTTGAATTCTGAAAACTTATTTTCTAATTGGTTGGAGCTCATCAAAGAAAATTACATGTTTGCTGTGCTGTGCAAAATTACAGTATGTGTCAACACTTCTCTCCTGTCCTGTCAACCCCTGCTTGGTTTATAATCACAAACCACATCATTGATAATTTGCACAATGCTTTTTAMAACACATTTGATTACAATACTTATCATATGTTATTCATGGTGTAGCTGTAACATAAAGTCTAATGATCCAGTACCATGCAAACCAGGAAGTTACGCTCCATCAGGTCACATGGCATGTCAGTCTTGTCCAATAGGCTCATACTGTCCAACATCAAAACTGTCACAACACATCCCATGTGTTAATGGTACCACTGCATTATCANAAGGGTTCATGTGCACTTTAAAAAATTAAACTGATGGAAAAAGACCTTTCTCAAATTCACTTGAGTGGTCAATTAAACAATAGTTCCAAGCTGACCAGGTTGGACTTAAATAAATTATAAGTAATAAATTGTATGAAGACATCTAGTTCAACCCCAACTTGGATCCATCATAGATCATGGTCACTCTGACAAGTGAATTTGGAAAATTTGAGAAAAGTCTATTATAACCCAAAAAGTTCATTATCACGTCTTAGGAGCTACTGACCTCTTTTTCCTCAATGAGTTTCTGTAGTTCCCTTTCCCGTGCATGTCTTTCTGCTAACTCTTTTGCAGATGCTTCTAAGAGATGTTCTTGTTCCTTTGCTTTCTCCAGCTAATAGAAAAACAATGATTTCAGATTACAAAACAATAATTAAATTGTGAATACTGAATGGATAGAACTGTTGTAAACACATCAACACATCTATCAATAATKAAATTACAAAACAATTCAATAGACCACCCAATAGACCTCCTCGGCTCTGGCATAATAAGGCCATTTAAGGCCAATTATTGTCATTCCCTAAAGTATCATTTCTTTGTTTAAAGGGTGTGCTTGAATTGGTTGCACAAGAGAAGACACATGAATATGGCCGATACAACTCAAGCAAATAATCTTATTCTCAAGGGAATAATACATGATCTGAAATTCTGAAATTGGATAAGATTAAGCCCATGCCGAGGAGGTCTATAAAAAGACAGTCTAATTGTTTATCACACGTACCAAGTTTACTCCACCAACAATAATCTTGCTTTCAATTGCCTTCAGCTTATCTTGAAGCTTTTTGTGTTCTTCCCTGTTAACAAAAACAAAACATTTTAAATTCTTCCCACAATATTATTCTGAAACATGTTTGCTTTCCTTGTTGGAGTATTTTACTACTAACTATTGCTTACTATCTTTAATTAACTAAAGTTTAAAATCTGGAGCCTTCAAGATATTATATTGTTATTGACTAATTTTTAAATTAGTCCTTTGTTTAACGACTGTCAAAATGCTAGTTGGCAAACAAGATATCAATTTTTAAGGGTTGCCCTTCAAGAATAATGGTAGTAATTCTATTGCTCCACATTAGGAATGAATACTTTTGAAACTTATTTTAACTTACTGTGCTTGAAAAATATCTTTTTCTCTTTTTTCGAGTTCCTTGGCCGCAGCATTACGTTCTTCTTCAGCCATGTCTTTCTTTGCTTGTAATGCTGCCTTCTCTGCCTCTATCTTAGCCTGCATTTCTGCAATCTTTTCAGGTGGAATGGCATGAGATGCTGCTAATAAAAAATCATCCTGCTTGGTTAGGTYGGAATATCAGAGCTCCTATCTTGAATAAATACAGTCATGTCTAAAATAGGATTGTTTCTATATAATGCCTATCAGAGAGGGCAGCCATAAACAAAGTCTTACATATTTTCATTTACGTAGGAATGTTGTTGTCAAAAATCATATCTTATTTTATAAGAAGTAAGAGTTTAAAGCATAAAATAGTCAATTATCAGTGAGGAGGATGAGAGTTGTTGACAGTGCAATATTTACATGCAAACTATAAGTTAGAGTAACATATTAAATACTGAAGAGGGAAAAGGAAAAGCTGGGACACTTTCCTATCTTATTGCAATGAAACTGTGATCAATAGGTTATGTTTGATATTCAAAAATTCAGACTTGATTGCAAGGCTTTAGTCATATGGTACTACATAATATATGGTACAAACATGAGGATCATCAAATCCATTTATTGATAGGAAGAGAATATTGTACCATATATGACAATGCTAGTCAGTTCCTTTTGAGGACTTATACAATTTAATACAGTTAGAAATTTTAATATCTCAAATGTAGCTTATTAATAAGGAATCAGATGATAACTGATACTAACTTTTCCTTTTATTCTTTTTCCTTTTAACTATGACACCATTTTCTTCTACTTCTTCTTCAGAAGAGCTTTCATCTGTTGCTCCACCCTCTATATTAGAAAATAAAAACACAAGTCTTATTAAAACATATACCAGAACAGCAACTTAATAAATAGACTCATAACACCACAATTTTATGAGATGCCTGAAGGGGTAGAATGGGAACTGGGATTTGCCTGTTTTACCCTGGGGAAAATGGGATTTAGGTCACTGGAAATAATGAAAAAACAAAACAAAATGGGAATGGGAATGGGAATGGGAATGGGAATGGAAAACTGCTTAATTTAAAGTTTGGGATTTGGGCACTTTGTATTGTCTAAGGTATTGAGATGTGGTTACTGACAGACTCAATGATATTTTTCCACCCGGATGTCCTATGAAAGATCTAAATAACCCTTAAAAATCAAAATACCTTCATCTTGAAGCTGGGCTCTAAGTCTCTCAAGCTCTTTTTGGAATTCCCTAAGCATAGCATCCTTAGGATCTTCATTAATTCTAGCCTGGTTTTTGATGTTTTTAGCCCGGTTGGCATACCTGAATTAAATGAAACAAACAACATAATCATATTATTATAAATGCCTTACAAACATTTACTTAAATGTTGGTACGGAGGAGACTTTCCATCATGCAACAAGACACAGTGTCACAGTACGAATTCAACATGGGGTGGTAAGGAAAGGGGTCTCTGTACAGTTCACAGTGATTAAAAAAGGATGCTCACAGTGTGCAGAAATTAATATTAAGCATTGACAAGTCACACTTTTTAGCGCACGCTGGAATCACAAAAAAAAAAAACGGAAAATACTTTTTCCTCATCACAGATCTGACAAAAATCTAATTAAAATTTCTCAATTATGAATCATGAACCGCCCTGTTTCAAAGGTTTGTTATTGTATATAGCTGACAATAATTAAATAAATGATTTGTTATCACCTTTTCAAAAAAAAAAAAAGATTATTTGTAGGTCCATTGGAACAAAGCTTGCTCACCTCAAAGTGCTTATGGTCTCATCAAAGTTATAATCTGCAGGACCAACATTAGCAATCTGAAAAGTACAAAATTAAGTCCTGTTTCACTATAACACCTGGAAGTACACCAAGCCCAGGGGTAGGTGTTTATCTGCAGAAGTCTTATTCGAAGGATTTGACCATGTAGCTTGCACTCATAATCATAAGGGGTAATTTAAGAATTAACAAATCTTGTAACTGAAAAGATAATGCCCTAAATTACTTGAATAAATGTAAAAAGGCATGATTACATGGAAACGAATTCTACTTTCAGCAACAATTGTTACAACTTGTCCTGCAACATTTTTCTGATTGTGCTGTAGGTTACACRCCCGTTGCGAGACAAGTTGCAGAGAAAACTGCTAAGTGTAAACCCGCCTTAAGGACTCAATGCAGCTTTTTATTTTGGTCACAGTTCACTTGTTGAATCCAAGATGATTGGATGAAAGTTTTGAAAAAGAATGTTCTTTTCATGCTAATCAGCATTTCCATAGCAACAATAAAAATAAATAAAAAGGTTTTTTTCCTTAATGTCTTTTGATTTTATTTCGATTTTAAATTAATTAAAAATAATCGTAACATGAGTTTTTTCATATTTTTTTAATAATGCGGCCAAAATATTCCATGTACAGTAAGTCTCACAAATTATCCCTAAATTACCATCTTAAGCACTACTGTTACATGTATTATGTCTTACCATTACAGTCTTGGAATTGCCTCCCAAGGAGTCCTGTAGAAGCCTGGTTAATTTAGAATTCCTGTAAGGGATATGAGTACTTTTGCCGTCTACTAGAGCTGATATGACATTACCAAGAGTTGATAGTGACAGGTTGATCTTAGTTGCCTCCTTCAAACGTTGACCTGTTGCACCTGTTTTGGTTTGTCGTTCAGATCCCTGTGTGTAAAAAGTTCGAGAATTTTCAATTTATGATACACTCAATGCAAGATCCTCATTAGGCTAGAAACATAGAATATAGAAGCAGAGAACCAAAGGTATTCTGAGAAATGACAAACATATTACCTAATAAACATATTTATTTGTGGTATGCAGTCAATATAGAACATCTAAAGTGTATTCAAAGGAGCAATGTTTGAGAGCTGTTTGGCRTAATCATTCCACATGTCATTAAAGTATGCATCTCATTAACATAACCTCTTTAAATATGTACCCTCAGCTTCTATATTCTCTTTTTTCTTTATCTGACAATGATTTTGCAATTCATTGTATACAGCCGACTGTGTAACGACCATCAGGAAGTACTTAAAAAATAATTAGATAATTTCTTAATTTAGTTTAGTTTAGTGCGTTTACCACCCTAGGTGGACGGCTGGATGCCTGACAGGCCTGCAGCCCAATTGATAAGGCAGCCCTGAAGATGGTCATCACCAGCGTCTTCAGTGAATCTTTAACATCCGCCTTATACAGGGTTACATAGTGAAGACAGAYGGGGCCTAAGGGTTTTAAGTCCTTGTCCGAGAAGACTTAAAGGTCTAACCATTTGCAGATATAATTACATAAGGCAGCACCTTCTCCTCAGTTATTTTAAGACCCTGAGTGTTGGTCCGTTCAAGGCTTGAACCACGGTCTCCCACACAACAGACCAACGCTCTTACAAACTGAGCTAACCGGGTGGCGCTTAAGTTATGGATCACAATTCATGTATATTTGTGATAGGCACAAATGAGGAACAATGCACTTACAGCCAAGTCAACTAGGTGGAGTTTTCCCATGCGCACGTGGTGTTGTCCATCTGGACCTTTCTCACTACATTCCACTGTAATGCTAAAGATTGCATGTGAACGTGATGACCTTTCATTCATGTTTGTTGCCCCAACAGACCCTGTGATAATCAAGAAGATTCATGATTATTTTCTCCTTCAAAGGCTTTGAGAAAATGAAAAATATCATAATGGTCTGGCAAGGGTACAAACATTAAGACTATATTATACTGTAAGCAATTACTTCAAGAGGTTGGTTCCCAAGCTGGACCAGAACACATCATGTTATCTATCACTGTTAAGTAATAATAAATAAAATATATTTTTATTTAATTAAGTGTCTAGTCGCTCTAGCACTTTCAAACTAATTGAGGACACACACTACCACTTCATTCGTTCATTCAATGTTCTATGCACACAATGCTCAACTTCCATGTTGATTTTTATCTAGGGAGGGAACCAGAGAACCTGGAGAAAACCCTCGTAACATAGGAGAAAACAACACATTAAACAAACTCAATTCAAATGTGGAGACCTCAAGTGACCTGACCTGACCTGTTGGACTCACAGTGGTGAAAGACAATGCATTAGCAGCGTACCGTACACCACCCATACTATGCTTTGATCAATACCTTCACAATAATTATCAACTTACTGTTTTTATTTCCAAGTGTCATAGTTTTGTCTAAATCATCTGCATTGTTCATTACATAAGAAGATAAATCTTTGACATAAACTCCAACATCCGGTCGTTCTTTTACCTTGCAATTATACATATAATACAGGTAAGTATTAGTTTTAACTCAGCAGTTTTTAATGCAGGTTTTGCTGGATCTATTTCATCCTGCAACGTACCTGGCTGCTACAATCMATTTTTTTAGGGGTGGATCTAGTAATCTGAGAGAGGGGAGGGCCTAACATATTTGTGATGCATTGTATAAAGAGCTGTCCAGTAGTTAAGAACAGATTGAGAACTAAACTATTTCACTCTGAGAATAGAATAAATATTAAGACCCACCTCTAGACTGGCATGCTCATCTTTACCAAGAAGATCCCTTACATTCTCATTGTAGATTTCTAAGTATGAAACTCTCACAAGGAATCTATAACAAAAGATAACTGGACTGAATGAATGATGTCTTAATTCAAACCTTCCTTAAAAGAAGCATCTCATTTGAGGACTTTGCCTTATGGTTAAAGCTAAAAGTCAGATAAATCCAGGGTTACAGTAGTAACCATGATCTTTCCCTATTAATATTTCAAAACTTAATACAAAAAACCTGCCAATACTCTTTGGCTAGTTCATTATCTTCTCCTGTTATTTCAATACTTAATAAAGACCCTGGTAATCTGATTGTATGGTAAGCAGGGTCAAGGACAGTTATGGATACTTTCTGGTATGCTGTGTATGTTATCCTAAGATCAATCTTTATCCTCTTTATCATACCTAACATCACCATCAACCTTTGCTATATGACCAAAAATATGAGCAAATGAATTAGGGATAATTCCCCTCATCTCTGGGATAGAACGTATTCCTTCCATGGTAAATGTTTTGCCTGTTCCAGTCTGACCATATGCAAAAATTGTTCCTAAAAATGTAAAAAGAAAATAATATAGCAATGTAATCATTTGAATTAATTTATATCTTCCAAACAATGTGAATCCTCATAACATTTTTGATATTTTTCTCTTAATGTTATCTTAACAATAGTTTTAAAAGAGTAGCAGTCAGCTTTGAGAGCAAGGCAATTTTGGGTAAAACTTAAATATAAACAAAGTATTTTGCCTTTACTTTTGACAAAGATAATCACATCTCAGAATTAAACTATATTTGTGAATCAAAGCATGGACTGCAGGGGGATGACGGATAGGCTGTCGTGAGGTGTTTCTACCCCTTTAACGCTTTCAAATTGCAAGGACTGGACACAAGGCACGTCTTAACAACCACCCCCCCCCCCCCTCCTTTCGCCATTCAGGGCAATACACTTCCCCTTTTAATAATCAAAACATTGCGAAGTCCCTGATATTTACCCACCATTATAGCCTTCTAGAACTGATTCTATGATAGCCCGTGCTGCATCTGTATATACGTCTACTTGCTTAACTTCTGGCGCAAACACACGATCGAAAGTGTATCGTTTTGGAGGCTCGCCTGCCGATCGAGCCGAAGGGTTTTCCACAGTTATTGTACCATTTGCTTCGTTCACACGAACACAAACAGAACAACCAGAACCCTTTTCTTTTTCGTTTAAGGGCCGGCATCTGACGACAACACGAACATTATCACCGCCTTTTTCTTCCTGTGATAATAAAGATACAATATTTGAAAGAGTTTTTCATTGCACAATCCTCGTTCTAGTTGCTAACGTTTCTCACGAATTATTTACAATGTCATCCAAATTTTACTCTCTTTTTAAGAATAGAATACTTACAGGCATTATTGAATAGGTTCCTAAATATCTATAAATGGTTTTCCAACAAGATAAAATGTCGTCTAGAGGCGTAAAACATAGCAGAGATAATTTTTTTCGACATACTTTAAACTACCATCCGCCATCTTTTCTCTTGATGGCGTCTCCGTCTTTGTTTCTAGGGACGTCTCTAAGCACAGGGATCCCATATAACATTTTTGTGTTTCGTTATAATTGGCGGGAATCTGCAGGACAAGAAGGGAGGGCTTACTAAATAAAAAATAGAAAAGTAAAACGTCTATATATTTGTTAACGCCTTATTTACATTTTGTTTCTAAATCATTGGGCTGCTGCAAGAAATTTTTATTTCATTTATAGATTCACTAGCGCCGTATAGACAAGTTCAACCACAGGTAGCCCAAGCCGTAGTCATAAAATCACGGAATGAGTTTTAAAATCGCACGCTTTGGTTTAGTAGCTGGTCGAAATACTGAAGTAATAGAAAACACGCCCGTGTATTGYGTGCAGTTTTAGAGCACCCGGCGTTGGCAAAACACGAGAAAAGCATGACACGTAGCAATGACGTCATCATTTTGTAATTTCTATATTAGGGTGAAATGGAATATACGCTACTAATGCATCGTCTGTCCAACGGGTTGGGTCCCGTTGTCCGAGCCCTGCGGACACCAGATATGAACAGCGAATGCGAAGGGGGGGAAATTATACATATATATATTCCGGATAGGTCGACTGCGTAGGGATAAGAGAGAGACCGCTTGCCTACAACCAACTCAGTGCAGCCTTCAATCTCGAAAGTGTGTTGGTTGGCTTGGTGAGTCCGCTGACAATAGACCGTTTTCTCAAGGTTGCGTGCGCATCCAACTTGACGGTCCACGAAACTGAAAAACGTAAATTCAGTAAAATTGAGAAGACAGTTTATATTAAGAGGAAAATGATCGATGTTATGAATTCTTATTGAAAAAAAAATCATAGCGTTTTTTGGTATCGTGCCCCGTCAAGCTCCTTAAACTTGGAGAAAACGGTCTATTGAGTTTATTAGATGTGTTGTTTTCTATCTTGTAAAGCTCGACCCTATATCAATTTAAGAGCTGAATATTCCAATGAATGTAGTAAGGAGTGCCATGGTGGATACACGGCCCCACCACCAGCTTCTAGCTTGAAAGCATACTGCGTATAAATAACAAGTTCTTTTTATTTATTGATCATGAATCTGAACGAAAAAAATATCGAAGAATAGTAAAGGCCATCCTTATTCATTTTATGAGGGATTTGAAATCAGGATGGCATTCTGTATGTAGGGCTTATGTCAATCGAAACCCCCTACCCCCGACCCCCAAGGTGGGAAATTTAACATTTATGTCGTCATATTTTGCAATTTCTCCCGGTCCCCGGAGAAAGATTTGCTATTCCCTATGACCCTTAGCTAATAATGCACGAACTTGTGCATTATATGCAGTTTAATAAAGTAATTAAAAAACACGTAATGCTTCGCCGTCTTTAATTATCATGATCTATACTAATCTATACGCATAAGACATGACGACCCAACATTTGTTAGAATTCATAAAAACAAGGATATCTCGTGAAGCTGAAATTATTTGCTATTTTATATAAAATGCTACTTTTCAACATATTGACATCCATTGATGAGGACTTTAGATACAATAGGCAATAGAGCTGTTAAGTGTGACGTGATTTGAACGAAAAACGGCTTCCGGTTCCAAATTAATAAATACTTCTACAGACATTTTTCTGTGTTTTTTTTAGCGGGATTTTCTGTTCATATATCTAGTTGTTGAAGGTAGAGAATAAATCCTGGAAATAAGTTGTGGCAAGATTTGAGCGATCTTGTTGTGTGATTGGACCCGGAAATACGTCACAACTTAAAAGCCCCGTAAGGATATCATGGTCTAGTATCAATATCGTATTCTCTCTCTCTCTTCTCCTTTTTGAATACGTGCATGACGTTGATCATCTTCCTATCACTAAGCAACACTTGTTAAACAAGCTGCATAACGATGGCGCAATTATAGGTGCTGTAATGATTCTGAAGACAGACCATGGGATTGCCAATGAGTGGACAAAGMTATTTCTATTAGTTTCAGGTTATTTTCTTTATATCTACAAAATCAAGTATATCTTTATTGATTGCGTTAAGAAGTTTGTACTGTGAGTAATGCTTGTGACCGTAGTACACCTATTCCTTGATCCTCCAGCACGCATACCCGTGGGTAACCTAATTTGACGAGCCCTGCACCAATCTGGAAGAAGAAAATGTGGATTATAGATGATGGTGAGCTCATGAAAAGAAGTAGCAAAATTTAGAAAGAGAAAAGAACAAAGGAATGTCAGAAGGTTGGGAGGGAAAGGAAAAGATTATTTGGATAAGAAAGAAAGAAAAGGAAGAAAGAAAGAAAGAAAAAAGGAAAGAAAGAAAGGAAGGAAGGAAAGGGAAGGGAAGGGAAGGCAAGGGAAGGCAAGGGAAGGCAAGGGAAGGCAAGGGAAGGCAAAGAAGGAAGGAAGGAAGGAAGGAAGGAAGGAAGGAAGGAAGGAAGGAAGGAAAAAAGGAAGAAACTTCTTTTCAATGTCACAAAAGACTGGTAGACCACCTGATATCTAAACAGACAGGACTTCAAATCAATTGACTTACCTTGGCAGGATAATTTGTTTTATTTCCCATTACTATTACAATCTTTCCCTTAAAATTAGCCAGAGTCGCGGAAGCGTTGGATTGAGCAAGTGCACCGTCTTCGAGGAACGCCTGGTTAAAAGGGATGTTAACACTCCCTGCTACTTGACCRCGATGAAATCTGAAGTTAGGGTAATAAAATCAAGGCCTTAATAACATTTGACACATCACTTCTTTATGGCTATCACACTATGTGCATTATCTACATAATAATGGGCGCAACAAAGATTATTAATTGTTTTATCGATACCCTGAAACAGCTCTAGGCTAGTAGGCAGCGCCCGACTAATATATATAACTCACAAATCGAATTGGAATTAAGCTTGTTAGGTTTTGCAGAGTAACCTGAGAAAAACCCTCGGATCAAGGAAGAGTTCTAACAAACTCTAGTCTTATGTGTTGTCGAGTCCAGGAATCCGAATCCGAGACTCGGCCAAGTACAGAAACGAGTACATTACCTTAATAGAGCGAACATGGCCTGCGTTGGACTTGAAAGGCAATAAAAATAAAAAACTTACGCTCTTTTTGAAGTTTTAAAAAGATTTGGCCTTCTTTACTTAACAAGATAATATTCAATTTCCCCCGATAACTTGCGACCTTCCTTTTCACCAAATTTTTTTTTTTTTTTTTTTTTTTTTTTTTGATTTATTTTTTTTTTTTTTTTTTTTGCTTGCCGTGTAGAATGCTATCATCCTCTACATTAATAAAATGTAAGATTTATAAAGATTTGGATGGAAAGAGTCCCGATGTTTGGATAAGAATGACTTGAATAAATAAGCCTATACTAAGAAGCCTATACTAGAGCTGAACATCATTAGGTTAGGATACTCTTCCGGGGATCGCACATCTACCACAATCCCTCTCGGTTTTGCCTTCTTCTTCGGCGAGCCAGTCGTCCATGATTGAACATTATTCCCGAGTTCCATGATGCGGATTAAATTTTGTGCAGTTATTCTGCAGCATACTTCTGCTTTGAGCTGTTTTAATGGCAGGAATTCTTTTTCCTTAAGAAAATACATCATATATGGCATTAATCGAAGGGCAATAATCGTTGTTAGTTTTAATTGTTTCACTTGATGCAATATTCAATATTATATTTATTATCACTGGTTTAGGTGTAATTAAAAACCTCCACTGTATGGAACACCACACTTATATGAAACAACATGTACACCCATCTATGGAACACCAGACCCCTCTATAAAACACTGCACCCATATGTAACAACACACCCCTATATGGAACACCACACCCCCATATAAAACACTGCACCCATATGAAACAACACACCCCTATATGGAACAC